CAAACGTGCCTCCAGTTCTTGGCCATCAATGCAGAGATCTCTCCAGTAAAGGCGTCAAGACTGTGAAGTACAGTCAGCTCCTGGACTCCCCATGATCATAAAGAATAAGCCTGTAACTCAGGAGAATGACTCAGAACAGAACTGAGAATACTCTCCCCAGTGGCCCATCCTAAAGAAGACATCAGGAACGTGGACAGTTATCAACCCTACACTTACAAGTAAACGTGATCCCAAGTCCTTGGATGGCTTTATAATTTCCCTTGATGGTAGCTTCTAGCAAAATACCAGAAGAAAGTTCATGAAAAGAGTCAATATAGACATATAAGTACTTGCTAATAAATGATTGATGATACAGTGGGTTCCATGTTGAATTTTTAATTAGCACGTGATTTCGCAGCAGTCTGGTTGCTGTTGTGCTTCCTACAAAGTGGCCTTCACATAAATCAGGTTAGAAGAGACTATTTCATTACTGTCTGTCTTTAGGGCAGAAACGGCGGCAGATAAGCGGAGTCCTCTTTGAAACCATGTCTTGATTGAGTAACGTCAGTCTAACTGGGACTGAAGTGTAATCCAGCAAGAGTGGGCTTGCAGGTACTTTGATGACCAGCAGGGCCACTGGTCTAACAGTGGGGGTGTTGGGCTGCAGAGATGGACTAGGGAATGAAGTCATGAAGGTTTATTTGCAGCTTACAGAGAGATCATCTACTTGAAACGGGAGGAGGCATTTTCAGGAGCTGCCCAGGACTCTGGCTCCAGGAATGATGGTGCTTATAAAAGGGAGCGCTTGAAACGGAGAATTATATAGGCAGAAATGAAATCAGGAGGCTCTGGCAGCATGTTTTTCAGTGTAAGACTAAGGGGTGATGAAATCTAGGATTGAGAAGTTGAGTTAGAAATAATTACAGGAACCCAATTGTTTGATGAACTTGCACCATAATGAACAGAGGAACATGGTGCAGGGTGCTTCTGGCAGGTTTGGGTTTCGTTCATACAGCCAAGATTCCCTTTATCTTCTGGAGTAAAATGTTCAAATAACTTGGTCCTGACTCAACCATTCTGTGGGTGCTGGTAATAGAAGAAAATTACGCACACGGTGATAAAATTGACCAAGGAACCTTACATCTGGAGTCTAGCCTGCTTTGTGTGGTCAGAAGGGAGGGAATACACATCCCTAAAATCTTAGGTAGCAGGAGTGCAGGGTGAGATAATCCTGGGCTATCCCAGCCTCCGGCTGTCCCTTAAAGCCGAGTAATGGATTATGGGGGCTGATTTTACTATTCTTTCTTATTTTGATGAGGTTTGGAATTCTTCCATAATAAAACCTTTTTTATTTTTTATTTTTTTAAATAAAACCTTTTTTAAAAAGGAAGAGGAAGGGGCGCCAGGGTGGCTCAGTCATTAAGTGTCTGCCTTTGGCTCAGGTCATGATCCCAGGGTTCTGGGATCGAGCCCCACGTCAGGTTCCCTGCTCCACGGGAAACCTGCTTCTCCCTCTCCCTTTGCTTCTCCCTCTGCTTGTGCTCTCTCTCTCACTATCTCTATCACTACTTGGCCCTCTCTATCAAATAAATAAATAAAACCTTAAAAAAAAAAAAAGGCAAGAGGAAAACAAAATGTACCAGTTTTGATGTAGTAGATGTGAGAGAGGAGAAGGAGGGGGGATCAAGGAGGTGTTTTAGGACAGAAGAAGGCAGTCTCGTACAGTAAGTCAAACTGACAAATTTAATTACACAAAGAGCTGATATATGCTGATAATGGAAATTGGTTCAGAAAGCCTATAGCTGAATTCGTGAACCTATTTTGTCTTGCCCTGGGCTGAAAAGAATTACCGTTTTCTTTAAAGGAGAAATCACACAGGTGTTCATTTTCAGTTTAGGATAAGCAGGCTCTGAGGAGACTCACTCATTTTCATATCCAGGATATACCCTTCTTTCTTCCACCTGTGGGCACAGCTTTCCAGAGGCAGCCCAGTTACAGAAGCCCTTCGCTACCCAGATCTGAGTTTGCATCCCACATCCAACTGCATTTTGGTTTCATCTTTGCTGTGTATTTTTAAGTCCTGAAATGGCCCCTGCTAGGCTTCAGATGAGTTCAAGACCACCTGTGAACTCTCACCACCTACCCCACCCACTTACCTCCTGGATGCACTGCTTCTATTTCTGAACTAATGTAATAATTACTTTCTGCAACATCATTCTTTCTCTTAGAGGAGTCACAGTTTTTCTAGGCAAGTCCAGCTTAGTTCCACTTTCAAAATCGAATATCTCACTTGTCTTCGCTCTGTGTCTGACCCCAGTCAACTTGGAGCCTCGGTACTGACCGGGTCGTGTGGAGGGGCCACAGACAGGGACTCCAGCCTCCAGCCAGGTGAGCGGAGACGAGTGCAGGCGTGAGCCAGAGCAGGGGCCGGGGTCAGTGATGGAAGCCCGCCCAGGGACATAACTGCCACCGGGAGTTTGTAGATGTTTATCAGACCCAAAGGTAATGATTAAAGATTCGTTATTTATGGTCTGAGACTCAGAGCCATGATTACAAGATAAATACATACGACTGAAGCAAAAGTAGCAGCCGGACGAGGGTGTAGTGATGAGAATATGGAGCCCTGGTTACACTGGTAGGTTTTTTGTCTTGTCATTTTCAACTTTAAACCTCACTCAGAGAAATAGGTGATTTCTGCTTATCAGAAGAGGTAAGATGATGGAACAGGAAAAACCCAGTAAGAAAATGCAAGACTGTCACATCACTGGATGGTGCGTGAGGCCTCTCTGTGCTGTTGTCTCCAGTGTTTGGGGGGTTGGTTTGGTTTGGTTTGGGTTTTGCCTGTTATTTAATACAAAAATTAATTTTACTTCCTGAGTGGGCACAGCACCTGCGAGGCCTTTGGGGGCTGGGGTTACACCTTGCCCCGGGCAGTTGTCAGAGCGGATAATCTGGGTGCCTGCAGACCCTTCCCTGCTCTTCTCTGCAGTTGGTGGTTTGTGGTGGTTCCCTTCCTGAAGCTTTTGCTTCTCTGTGCTACGTGTGGGGAGAATGTTGCTCCAGGGACCAAGTGCTAATGCTTATGGGGAAGAACTGCTCCGCCCCCAAATAACTGCGTGGTGTGGAGACTTCACTTCTCCTCCTTCTCAAAGAATAATGATCTCAAGGTAAGGTCGTGGACAGTGTCTGACAGGGCCCCGCGTGTCCCGTGGGTGCTGTGTGGCGGTGACAGACCTGCCGCTGTCGTCCCAGCCGCGTGAGAGGAGTGGGTAACCGGTGTGCTCAGAAGTAGCTCTGGGTGAGGGCACGTTTCTGAGGACGGTCCCATCCGCTGCCGGCGTGGGGAGCCCCCGCTTACATTCGTGACATGGTGAGGATGGCCCCTCGAGCCTGTCACACCCCCGTGTCCCTCTTTGGGCAGGGTTACAATATTAGGATCACAGGCGATCCTGAGAAATCCTGTCTCAATGTACGCCAGCTCCCCACGAACTAATGCTCAGACCTCTTCCTCGGCCACATGTGCGCAGCTGTTTTAAGGAAGATAGGATAAGATGAGATGGAAGTCTTGTGAGGCTCCTAAGTACATTTTTTTCTTCTTGTGAAATTGGTCCTTAAAATTAGGGTTTTCTTAGTGGACGTGTATGGAATAAAAGGTAATATTTGAGTCATGATTATCAGTGTTTCGGAATTAGCTGTCTCAGAAGGAGTTGGTGAGTGCCACGACACTGCTTGCAAGCAAGGGAGACGCTGTCCTGGCAGGCTTCTCGGGGCTCGTGCCCGGCGGGCGCGGGGCGGCAGCCAGTAACAGCGACCCACAAGTGCAGTCAGCATCCCAGGGGTTTGGGCGTTGTCTGTAACAGGCCCGCCCCATCCTGCCAGTCCAGAGAGCGTCCCTGAGAAAGTCTTAAGAGACCAGTAGAAGAGCCGAAGCTGACGAGGCAGGGGGTCCTAGACAGAGCAGGGCCCCTCGGTGGGTGTAAACGACCCATTCCAAGAACCCAGAAACCCGGTGTGACTTGAGAGGATGGGAAGTGGCACAGACTGAAACTGACCGGGTCGGCACTGGCTGGCCAGGCCAGGAGACCCCAAAAGCCACGTTAATGATAGTGCTTTAGTCCTAAGGGCAAGAGGAAACCGAGGGATAGTTGTAACAAACATGAAATTGATACAATCAGATTTTTAATTTTTAAACCATGTAGAAAATAGATTTAAAGAGCATGGTCTGTTTTGGTGGCCAGACGGAAGACAGCATGGGTTGGTTAGGTTGGGGGGTGGGGAGAAGAAGGAATCCGGTTCTTAGACTTTGTGAGGGACAGGTGTTTGTACTCGATCATTGTTGACCCTGGATGATGGGTCCACGGAGTGGATTTTACCATTCTTTGGAATTTTGCAGAGATTTGAATTTTTCTACAGTAAAACCCTGAAAGAAAGGAAATGGAGAGAGTTCCGGCAGAGAGGCAGGTTCAGGGAGGAGACCAGGGTAGCTCTGACGTACAGTTTGGGAATTCCATGCAACAACCATGGGCAAGTCATGTGAGCTGAGCGGGGAAGTCTGGTCTGGGCTAGAGATAAATGTGACCATCACTGGCATAATACAAACAAGTGAAATCATGTAGGGGTGGGTGACATCCCTCAGGGACGAGCCCTGACAGGTGTCGTGTTTCTTAGCAGAAAGTCCTCGTGTACTATAGAATAAGCAGGTGGTCATGAACCAAAGCAATTACTACTCTGTTCATTTCCTTAAGCACCAAAAATTGACGTGTTTCATGGAAAACATGCATTTGTTCTAGCCAGTCTCGCCTCTCTCATTACCCCTGTTGCTTTTTTAACCCTGCAATCTGGTGCTCTCTGAAACACCTCCTCTTCTCTATTATTCGCATGCGCTCCTATCTTTGTCTGCCCTTGCCAAGTTCCTAAGCGGCTTCTCTCTCTCAGGACCTCAGATTCTCACTTCAGGTTTCCGAGGCTTGACACTTCATACATTTCCCTTCATGGGGTCCTTTCAGACCCTTCGTTCTCACCAGCCAGAGTGCTGCTGGGTCTCCTCCTATAGTAGAAAGAATCTTGGAATCGGAGTCCAAAAGACTTCTGTGCCCTTGGGGAAGATCTGTCTGATTGGTCTTTCCACAGGGAATTCCTTCCTGGCATTTCTTGGGACATTTATGTTTTTCCAAATTCTGAGTCTGAGAAAAATTGTTCAAGAAATCATGAAAACAGAGAAAAGCATAATTCTCCTGCAAGCATGATGGTCAACACAGATACATTCCTGGTTTAACAGAACCCACCGACGGCAAGGGTAGGGGCGCTCACACGCAGTTGAAGGTTAAGGTGGCCATCTCTGGAACCACGTTCCACGTTCTGGAAACACAGTGTCATCTGATCAATCTTCCTCGTTCACAATGCCGGGTTACAAATGTTGGTGCGCCCTTTCTGCTGCCGAGGGCATCCTTCTTACAAATAAAATACATGTTAGTGTGTTTATGCACATAATATACTTCATGTAAATCCTTTGAGTGGCGTTCCAAAAAATAGCATGTGTTGGAAGCAAAATAAGTCCTTAAACTGGCAATTTTGACATGTGATTCTTTGTACTGACCTTAACCTTGAATGTTACCTTATTCAAATACTACCCAACAATGTTTGCTGGCATTTTCCCGTACTTGGATATTCGCTATAAGCTAGAGTTCTTTGTAAATACTTTTAACAGAAGAAATGCAAAGGGAAGAAAATGTGAATTTCGTGAAATAATTTGACATGTGATCAGAAAGCAATCTAAAACCTGAATTAGCAAAAACAGTAGTATCAACTTCAGTGGCAAACCCAAAATTAAGTCAAGCAGACAATATTTTCATTGTTAAAGAAATTGGTTTATATGAAATAAGAAGATGTATGCCAGTTGGAAGGTGCTTTTGGATGCACTTGTGAATTAAGACCATCAGTGCGGGGGCGCGGGGCGGGGGGCGCCTGGGTGGCTCAGGCCGTTAAGTGTCTGCCTTTGGCTCAGGTCATGATCCTGAGGTCCTGGGATCGAGTCCTGCCTCAGGCTCCCTGCTCAGCGGGAATCTGCTTCTCCCTCTCCCTCTGCATCTCCCCACGACTCGTGCTCTCTCTCTCTCTCTCTCTCTCTCAAAAAAAATACATTTTTTAAAAAAAGAATGCTAAAGTATTTTTTTTAAGTACAAAATTGGAGGAGGAGTTCTATTTCTACATCTGGAATAGTTGTCATGAAACAACAAGATTATCCGATGGCAATGAATGCTGTATGTGTTTTAACATTTTAAGATAATTTTTAGATATTAAATATATGGGATACTAGCTTCCATTATCTTAGGTGATTTCTCTTTGGCAATCATTTTGCATTCCCTTTTAACGTTTTCCCTTATTAAATATCTGTATCAGGTAGAGACTGCTATTCACATACTGTTGAAATTATAGTCTTGCACAGTGTACTCATAATAATAATAAACTTTGCATTTTTATTCTATTTTTTAGCAGAAAACCTCTGAAACTCTTAGTATAACCCTATCACAGGAAAACAGTTCAATCTCAGTGCTTACTCATTATTTAAAAACAGTATTAGAAGATGCAGAATAATTAGAATTTGGGGAATTCTGGTTTCTCATTCCTGAACCTGAGGATTCATATCAGTCAGGACTTTGCAGACACTGGCAGCCACGTAAGCCCCCCCGGCACTCGGGCCTCCTGCTCGTAAAGGAGCCAGCCGCTGGCATCCTCCTGGCGGGTGCTGTCTGTCCACACCACCGCTGCCGCTGTGGACAGGTCCTGTCCTCCAGGCCTTTTCCCTTCTCAGAGCCATGGAGATGATGCTGGCCCGGGAGTGAGATGGCCTGGGGTCAAGCCTGACTGCCATCACTGAAACCCTTGGCCAGATGCCTAACTGACTTAGTTTCTCCCCCTGTCGAATGGGACTGCAGATGGCAGCAACCTCCTGGTGTGCTTGTGACCGTACTTGTGTGGGGCTTAGCACGCTGACATGCAGTGCGTCCCCAGTGTCAGCTGCTCGGTTTTCATCACTCAGGCCTGTCTCCTTTGCACCCCCGCCGTCCCGGTCCTTCCCATCTTCCTTGTGCGTCGCTGCCAGACCTCTCCTGTGGCTGATCTTTGTATTGCATTCCTCTTATGTTGTTTCTTGATCCAGAGCTCCCAGTTGCCCGCCCTGCCGAGTCCGCCAGTGCTCTGCCCGTCTCCCAGGCCCTGGCCTGTCACATCCAGTCTTGCAACGTGGTCCGGTGTGCGAGTCAGACCCTCTCCGCCTTGTCTGACCCACTCACACCCCTGCCCGCACTTCCTCGAACCTTAATCTTACACTTTTTTTTTTTTTTAAGATTTTATTTATTTGAGGGAGAGAGAGAGCGTGCACACAATCCAGAGGGGAGGGCTGAGGGAGAAGCAGAATCCCTGCCGAGCAGGGAGTCTGACATGGGGCTCAGTCACAGGGCCCCCGAGATCATGACCTGAGCCAAAGGCAGACGCTTACTGGACTGAGCCACCCAGGCATCCCAGTCTTACACTATTTTTACACCACCTGCCCACCTAAGTTCTAGATATCCAGCTGATTACTGATCTTACTGGCTGATTGGTTTTCCCAGAAAAGTCCAGAATTTGAATTTTTAACAACAGCAAAAATGGGCTAAGCAAACTATCACTTGGAAAAAATTGTGTTTCCTGTGATCTTTGAATGTTCGAATAATTTGAAGAATCACTGTTTTTTTGTACAAGCTGGAAATCAGTAATTTCAAGCACGGAGAATCTGTTAGTATGTCTATAAGCAAAATGTCCTGTGTGTTTTGATGATGGAACCAAAACTGTTTCTTGATCTTATTTAACATCTTTGAAGAAATCTCTAAGCCTTTTGAAATATTTTGTAGTAACATGTTAATACACCATTTAATCCCCAGTAACCAACTTTTGTTTCTGTTTTTCCCCTCCTGAGGACCCCAAAATGTACGTACAGACGGTGTTGGATGTTCATAAGAAATACAACGCGCTGGTGATGTCGGCGTTCAACAACGACGCTGGTTTCGTGGCCGCGCTCGACAAGGTGAGCGTGTGGCGCGGCGGCCGTGCGGCGGCACAGGGGCCCGCGTTCCTCTGACTCTGCTTTGTGTTCCGCAGGCCTGTGGGCGCTTCATTAACAACAACGCGGTTACCAAAATGGCCCAGTCGTCCAGCAAATCCCCCGAGTTGCTGGCTCGATACTGCGACTCCTTGTTGAAGAAAAGGTATTAGTGACTCTGTGTGTGTTTTCCTTAGGAAACCTATTTAAAGTCTCAGCTTGTCTCTGAGGAATTCAACTGTTACATTTGACATAAAGTTGTAATCTTTGTACCTTTTGAGAACATATTTTACACCTAAATTGTCTCCTTTGTCTCCTGAAAAGGTGCTCCCTGTTACGTATTCTAGGTCCAGTTTGTTGTTTGTTTTTTTAATGTTACTGTTGGCTTTGAGAATTGCAGGCAGTGTGACCTCTCTCGCTAAATAAGGCTCCACGGGCTGGTCAGGTGGTGCTTACGAGGGTGGGAAGGAGGCAGGAAGTAAGCGTCCGGCTCGTCCTCCCGGTGCTGGCGCAGGCCTCGCTCGGCCGTGTCCCCGGGGAAGGTCTGCGGCGGGAGCTCCCCCGGCTCTGGCCCGAAACAGGAGGTCCCATGTGCTGCGGCAGTCGCGTCATCGTGTGCGCCTCTCACGCTTACCTCCATCTGAGGACTTTGTTCACTGCTGTTTCGAACTCGTCGTGTAGTTTTTTAAAGCTTAATTTTAAGTCATTACTCTACATCCAGCGTGGGGCTTGAACTCACGACCCGAGATCGAGTCCCACGCTACACCGACTGAGCCAGCCAGGCGCCCCTCATGCTCTGTTTTAGCGTGTTTCTCACCTGCTCTTCTTCCTCCTCAGTGTGTGTATTAAGAGATAGCGGCCTCCTGGTCTCCTGTGGCGCTCTCCTCCCCTCTCCCCTCCCCTCCCCTCTGCATTGCGCTTCCGGTATTCCAGGTTTTATGTGTGTGTTTGGGTTTTCACAGCTTCTCTTTCACTTTACCAGCTTCTCTCAGCTCAGAAATGCTCAGGGCTGGTTTCACTTTTCCAGAGATCCATCAGCAAACACAGTCATTTCCCAGGCCTCCATGTTGTCCTGGTTTTGAGATGAATAGACACCTCTCGAAGGCTCGTGTAACCCCATTGCAAAAAAAACTAAGAATACCTATACAGACCAAGAAAAACACTGCAAACAAGTCTCACCTAGAATAGAGTTGGGGAAATCCTAAGTCGAATATTAGCAGACTCAATTGATTAGGGAACTAAAGAATAATTCTCCAGAACATAGTATAGTTTCCTAGGAATGTGGGGATGGCTTGGCGGTAGCGAATTTAATGTAATTTACTGTATTAACAGAACTGAATGTGGTCTTCCTGACAGACATGGGAAGACATTTGATAAGGTCCCTGGCTCCCTCTCTGACTTTGCCAGAAAGCCATCTTCCCAAGTCCAGTGAGAATGGAGTGTTTGGGGGTTGTTTTCCATTTATTGCAAAGCTGGTCAGTGTGTAGTTTAGCAGTTCTGGTCAGATCCTTTCATGTACACCTTCCAGGAATAAAAATGGACTTTAAAATGGGATGCCTCTTCTGACCTGATTTCTTTTTTTTTTTTTTAAAGGCTAGGTTATGTGAACATTTTCAATATATTAATTGCGTGCTTTAGTAGACCTTCACTGTGTTTGGCAGGATGCTTATTGTCCTTTTTATCCATTGCCTTTTCACAAGGGGCCCTCCTCAAGTCTCTTGCTCTGTTATTTCTTAGTTCAGGCTGCTCAAGCAGGCAGAATGGCAGGCACTTGGGAGTGTTGCTTCAGTGAGCACGCGCTAGGGAACGGAGCTAGGAAGTAAAACTCTTCGGAGAGAGAAACCGCCCTGGCCTACCCATGTGAAGAACAGGACTAGATTTCCTGAGCCAGCTATTCTTAAGTTGGAGCACCTTTGCAGAGCTTGTTTGGTGGCTGGATCATTTTATACGAATGTATGGGGATCTTGTCTATGAGGGACTCCTAAAACCTTAGAAATGTTGTTTACCCTGCAGTCACCTTTCAGTTAATACTTGTTCATAGAAGAGAAAGAATCCGTTGTTAAAGACAACCCTCTGTTACATACACAGAACCACAGAGGAAGGCAGCACTTGAATGGTTTAAACCCTTCCATTATCTTTAATGATTAGGCCAGTCAAAAACGATACGCCTTTTTGGTTTTTTCAACGGTAAGGTAAAGCATATGGTAGAAAGCAGTTGCCAAAGTGAAGTTCATTAATTTTGTATTTAAATAGATTGTCTGAAAGGAAAATTAAATGTTTGGGGGAACTTATTTAATAAGTATCTCCTGTTGAATTTCCCCTTGGAAATCCTAAACGATTGTTTCGTAAATGGATTCTTCCGCGATAGGGTCAGTATAAGATGGCCACACCGCCAGAGGTAAGAAGAGTTTGCCCGCCTCTCTGTGCACTGATCTGAAGAGAGCCGATCGGTCAGACGTTCACGGCCGCATTCTGTCACATTAGTTCGGTTCAGTGGTGCTTGCCGATGGAATGTTTGCCGATTTGTTTGAAAACAGTATGCCGTTTTTTGTTTGTTTGTTTTTTTAATCTCAGTTCCAAGAACCCAGAAGAAGCTGAGCTAGAAGACACGCTCAACCAAGTGGTAAGGCGCTTCTCACTAACCACGCCGGGTTCCAGCAGCCGTTTATCTCCAAGTTTTAAGCTTATTTGTATAGGGCATCTGAAATGTGACAGTTAATAGGATCATCTATTTTACTTTGAACCTGTGGTGTTACTCCCTAAATTGAGTCGTTAATGTTAGCATTTGTACTTTTCTCACGAGTCCTAAGTCTAGACCAACTTAATGTGATTTGAGGGGTTGACGCAGCTATTTCGAGGCTGCGGGTGGTAGTTTGGGCCCCGTACACGTTGGCTCAAGGCCAGGCAGAGCAGCTGGGGCGGCGGCGGGCGCGGGCTCGGGGCGGCGGGTTGCACGTGCATTGAGCGTGCTCTCTTGGCTTCGCTAGATGGTGGTCTTCAAGTATATAGAGGATAAAGACGTGTTTCAGAAATTCTATGCGAAGATGCTGGCCAAGAGACTCGTGCATCAGAACAGTGCCAGCGACGACGCCGAAGCAAGCATGATCTCGAAGTTAAAGGTAGATGTAACCCTGTCCCGGAAAAGGCCCGTGTTTAAGTCACCGAGAGAGGGGTCTTAGTGGTCGCAGGTGTCCTTGGGCAGCGTCGCGAGTTTGGGTGGTGTGGTCCCCAGTGCCCCACGACGGGAGGGCTGTGACCGGCCCGCCCCCCGCCCCCCGCTGTCCTGTCAGGCCGGGCTGTGCTGCGCTCGCCCCCCGAGCGCCTCCCGGCTCCGCGTGTTGGGCCTCCGCTCTGCCTCCACGCACCGGAACCACGCAGCGGGGCTCAGCCCACACTTGGGTTCGGTGGGCTTTGAGGTGCTGGGTGTTTTGTTTCGCTCTGAGGTGAGTTCAGTGTCTGCGGCTGTATGTGCCGGAGGGCTGTGGAGCAGTTGGCTCATCATCCGGCCCCCTCTGCGCTGAGCCCGCGCTGGTCGCCGTGCTTGCTGTCAGGTGTGGTGGACATACTTCACTGTGACCTGAAATTAGAGTGCGATGGCTGTCTGATTCTGCTCAGACCGCCGTGACAAAATTCCACAGTCTGGGGGCTTAAACAGGAGAAATGTATTCTCACAGTGCTGGAGGCTGGAAGTCCAGGATCGAGGTACTGGCTGATCCACTTTCTGTTGAGGACTGTCCTCCCAGTCTGGTGACGGCCACCTCCCCGCTCTGTCCTCACGTGGTGAGGAGCGAGCAGACTCCGGTCTCCTCTTACAAGGGCGCTAGTTCCATCAGGAGGGCCCTGTCGTCATGACTTCCTCTGAACAGTCGTTTCCCCAGGACCCTACCTCCCCGTACCGTCACACTGGGGGTCAGGCTTCAGCAGACGAGTTCGGGGACACACAGTTCAGCCCACAGTAGGGGATAAGAGACATAAAATATGTCATCTTTGTATTCTGTCAGATAGCCTTTCTCTTCGATGCTCCGAGGAAAGTCACCATGTGAGCAAAGATTTAGCTGCTGGGTTACGGCCGTGTAACTTTGGAGAGTGTGTCCATCTGAATGGGGACATACCGATGGTGCAAGATGCCCGTGTTAGCAGCTTTCGCGGCAGTTTTGGTACAGTTGTAGGAGTTCCATCCGATACCCTTGTGTACACTTAGGTTTTTATAGAAGTTACTAAGACACTTACTGGGTCCGTTTCAGCAAGCTTGTGGGTTTGAATACACCTCTAAACTGCAGCGGATGTTTCAAGACATTGGCGTGAGCAAAGATTTGAATGAGCAGTTCAAAAAGCACCTGACGAACTCAGAACCGCTGGACTGTGAGTACCCGCGTGTGCATTGGCTGCTTTCACAGGCCATGTTCTTAGAGAAGTTCGTGCCCTTTGTGGCAGACGAGAGGGGTGGCAAAATACTAAGTAGAGCTGCGTGATGCCTTCTCAGAAATCCCGGGATGGACGAGTACGAAGTGCCTCCCACATGCGCTAGGGGAGTCCTGCGACCTGGTGACGTTAGATGACAGGGCACAGAGCGTGTCAGCCTTTCCCAGGGGACCCAGCCGGTTGAGAGCTGGGGGCGCCGAGCCTTGCCCTCTCCCGCTTGCTGACTTGGCCGCCCCACCCTGGGCACCTGCGAGCTCAGGGCTCCACACACAGTTTAATATTTCCTAAGTTGCTTTCACCTTAGTTCGGATCCAATCTAGCATTTATTTTTTTAAATGAAGAGAAACGGACTTGGCCGTATCGATGACAGCCTCGAAGTAAGCGGAGATCTCACGGCTCCGGATTGGTGTGCAGATGCGGGTGGGCTGGGCGCCAGGTCCGCGGGGGTGGTCGTGGGCCGATGATGCAGACATCCTCACGTGGTAATGCTGTCTTTTAAAATAAAAAATGGGAACTTTACTTTTCCTCAAAACTAAACCCTTCCATTGTTAAACTTGGCAGGGAGGCCAGTGGACCCCTCGGCTCTTTGTGATGATGGTATTACTGTTCTAATTTATAGTTTATATTGTATATAGTGTTGGTGGTCGCGAGGGCTACACAGAACATCCTGAAGTGAGCTGTTTACGTTTGGGGTTTTTGTTTCCTGAGCTGGGGCCTCCAGGGGTGGCCGTGCTGGGCGGGCTCAGGGGCGCTCGAGTGGCCCCAAGGCCCGACAGCAAACCCAAGCGACCAGGGCAGAGCAGGCCAACGGTGTCAGAAGTCTGAGCTGGAAGTGAAATGAAAAACTGTCCCTCTCTAGAGGAAAAGCGTTTCTGGCTCTTTCCCCTTGTACTCATTTTAATTGAGTGAAATAATTTAACTGAGATATGGTCAGTTCTTCATTTTATACTGAAACAGAGTTTTTCATTCAGTATGTTTCTTTTAATACAAGGCAGTCCACGTTTATTTGAACGGCCGCCTTGTTCAGTTCATGGGACTAACTGTGTTCCTGCATTTCATTCCCCGCCCCAGTGGATTTCAGTATTCAAGTGCTGAGCTCCGGGTCGTGGCCCTTCCAGCAATCTTGCACGTTTGCCTTGCCGTCGGAGGTAAGGGTGGCTTTGTCTTGGGTTCTGTTAGTGCTGAGCAGATGAGAAGGGGGACCTTGGCCTTGACCCCCAGGGTGCCTGCAGAAGGCCTTCCCGTGGGCCGGCCATGCAGCAGTAAGGGGGGGGGGGGCCCAGGGCGGCGGCTGGGGGCCATGCTGCAACCCCCCGACGGTAACCTACGTGCCGTACGGTTAGAAATGGTTCTCGACAGGACCCTCGAATGCCTACGTGAGTCCAACACCTACATTTGTATTTTACTTTTATGTCCTGAGCACTTTGTCCTGTAAACTTGGCAAGGTGTATATATTGAGAAATGCTGACTGGGATGTGAGTGAGACGCGGTGCCGTCTGTCCTCTTGTGCAGTTGGAGCGTAGTTACCAGCGATTCACGGCTTTCTACGCCAGCCGTCACAGCGGCAGGAAATTGACTTGGTTGTATCAGCTGTCCAAAGGAGAACTGGTAACCAACTGCTTCAAAAACAGATACACGCTGCAGGTAAGATCACCTTTCTGGTCTGGAATACATACATCTTTGAAGTCTGGAGGAGGGTGAGGCAAATCGCAGAACTCAGAATCCAGGGGTTGGTGCCACAGAGTCTGCAGAGTTAAGCTTCTGGCAAAGTCCTGTAGTGGTTCAGACAGCCCGGCTTTGAGGGTGAGGGGAGCTGAATCCTGATGCTTTCTCACTGACGGACAGGCGACTTCCTGATGCCTCAGTTTCCTTCTCCACAAAATGGGGGTGCTAGTGCTTACGCTTTGGAAGTGATGTGACAATTTAGTGAAATAACATGCTTGATAAGCGTCTGGCATAGCTCCCGCCTGATGCACACTGTGTGTGTCGCTTCAGAAGCTGGAGTTCAGTGTCCTTAATTATGATAATAGCCCTTTTCCCTTGGCAGAACATTCGTTCCACGTTAATAGTAACCCTCAGTGCTTGCCGCAGGACTGAGTACTGACTAGTAAGAACTGCGTAGTTACGGTTTCAGTTTGACAGAGGAGAAACTGAGACCCGGGGTAATTTAAGTGACTTCCTCGGGATCCCAGAGCCAAAATTTCAGTGAGCGTGGATGCCTAAATAGCGTGTATTTACGTACACAAAACGTCATAGAAGAAAGTTCGAAATTATTTCAGCGTTTGAAAGGTGGGAAATGATGTCCTTCAGGAAAACGTTGCTTTATGGTGGAGTTGTGACACTTTGTATTCTCTTTTACATAGATCTGCTTGATTTTTTGCATCTATTGGAAGAATTTGTTTCATAAATCAGTTCGTCAGACTTAAGCTCTGGATTTCTGGAGGTTTTTCCATGCATTTAAATTTTGCTTCTCTTTCTTTTATATGTGGGGCCTCAAAGGCATCCACCTTCCAGATGGCGATCCTGCTTCAGTACAACACGGAAGACGCCTACGCTGTGCAGCAGTTGACCGACAGCACTCAGATCAAAATGGTATCTTAGCGCTTCTTGGCCTCTTGTATGTGTCACCTCGCTGTCTCCTTAGTCTCGTGAGCACTGCAGGGAGGGAGTGGGGAGAGGATGTGGGGGTCTGTGATTGGACATAGCTACTTGCCTTAGGACTATAAATGATGCACGTTCTTTAAAAACTTCATTTTTAAACTCAGTGTAACCTACACCATGTGTACGTATGTGCACGCCCACGCACACACACACACACACAAATGTGAGCGCAACATGCTTTCTCCCGTTCGTTTAACCCATTCTTAACCCCCTTTACAGCTAGGCTTTTCTTACTAAGCTCAAATGTCACTTAATTATCATGCTATTCTTCCTATCAGTCATGTTCTTTATTGAGACATATTTCACATACATAAATTTCACCATTTGTAAACAGTTCAGTGGGTTTTCACAAGGTTGTACAGCCAACCACCACCGTCCAATTCCAGAACATTTCCATCATCCCAAAAAGAAACCCATCAGCCTGTAGCAATAACTACCCTCTACTCCTCAGCCCCTGACAACCATTAACTTACTTTCTGTCTGTGCATTTGCCTACTCTGGGCATTTTGTGTTAATGGTGTCATAGTATGTGCCTTTTCTGTCTGCCTTTCACTTGTATTTTCAAGGTTTCTCCATGGGATTGTGTATAGATCTCTTTTATTCTGTTTTATGGCTGAAATACGTTCCAGTGTATGGATGGACCACGTTGTGCTTCTCCATTCATCAGTTGATGGACATTTGGGTTGTTTTCACATTTTAATTATTAGGAATAGTGCTGCTGTGAACATTCGTGTGCAAGTTGTCGTATGAACATATTTTCAGTTTTCTTGGGTATATACCTAGGTGTGAAATATCCGAGTCATGATGGATTTAACTCATTGAGGAACAGCCCAACCGCCCCACGATGGCTGCATCCATTCAGGGGCTCACCAGCCGTGTAGGAGGGTCCAGTTTCTCCACACCCTTGCCAACATCTGTCATTCTCTTTTTTTTTTTAATTATAGCCATCCTAATGGATATGAAACAATCCTTCATTGTGCTTCTGATTTGCATTTCCCTAACAACTGATGATGTTGAGTGTCTACTCAGGTTCTTATTGACCATTTATATATATATATTCTTTAGGGAAATGTCTACTTGAATCCTCTGCCCGTGCCCATTTTTTATTTGGGTTGTTTTTTTTATTGTTGAGTAGTAAGAATTCTTTATATATTCTGTACATAGAGCGTCTTTTTCTTTTATTGCTTGTGCTTTTGTTGTCTTAAGGAACCATTGCCTGATTCAAGGTCAAAGATTTCTTTCCCTGTTGATTTGTACTGCCTTATTGAAAATCACTTGGCCATAGGTGGATGGGTTTATTTGTGGATTCTCAATTCTTTTCCAGTAATCTGTATGTCTGTCTTTATGACAATATCACATTATCTTGGTTGCTGCTTTGTAGTAAGTTTTGAAACTGAGACCTCCAGCTTTGTCCTTTTTCAAAATTGTGTTGGCTGTTCTGAGTCCCTCACATTCCCATATGAATTTCAGAATTGGCTTGTCCATTGTTAGAGGCTGCATCGAATCTGCAGATTGCTTGGGGTGGGGGTGGTAATCTTTATCTTATGAGTAGTAAGTCTTCCAACTCATGACCATGAGCAGCTTTCCATTCACATACGTTGTCTTTCATTTCTCTAAATTGTGTTTCATAGTTTTATATCTACAAGTCTTGCACTTTGGTTAAATTTATTCCTAAGTATTGTGTTTGGTGCTTTTGTAAATGGAATTGTTTGTTCGTTGCTAGATGTGGCTGAACTCCTTTTTTAATTTTTTTGAAGATTCTTTAGTGGTTTTTCTTATACACAGTCATGTCATCTGCAAGTACAGCTAGTTTTACTTCCTTTTCCTATTTGGATGCCTTTTATTTTTCTCGCCTGATTGCTTTGGCTAGAATTTCCAGTACAGTGGTGAATAGCGATGGTGTGAGTTGGCATCCTTGTCTTATTCCTGATCTTAGGGGAAAGCTTTAGCTTGTTACTGTTAAGTATGATATTAGCTATAGGTTTTTCTTAGATTCCCTTTATTAAAGGAGTTCCCTTCTATTCTTGGGTTTTTTTGTTGTTTGTTTTTTTTTTAGTGTTTTCATCATGACAGAGTGTTGAATTGGGTTAAACTGCTTCTCTATTGAGATAAAAATGTGCTTTTTGTTTATTAACGTGGTAGATTGATTGCTTTTCTTATGTTGCAACCTCGCATTCCTGGGGTAAACCCCACCTGGGCATGGGATATAATACTTTTTATATGCTGGTGGGCTTGGTTTGCTTGTATTTGCTTGAGGATTTTTACGTCTGCACTCGCAGGAATATTGGTCTGTTGTTTTCTTGGGATGTTTTTGCCTGGTTTTGCTGTCAGGGTAATACTGGCCTCATTGAATGTCAGGAAAATCATTTATTGTTTGATCGTGCTTCGAGTTAGTCCAAAGTACATCTGCAAATTCTAATAACAAACTGGATTTGCCCCTTTGTGTGTAAGTCTTTCTTGTTCCTCCTCACATCAGGAGGACTCGCATCGGGGGAGAGGCTCAGGCCGCCACAGGCTGTGGGGAGGGCGCTGCCCTTGGCCACCTGCTCCGCAGAGCTGACAGGTCCATGGGTTTTCTCTGCACCCGTCTCAACTGGTCTGCAGCCGAGAGTAGCACTCCGTGCGGGGAGGAAGCACCCTCCCCGCTCCACACTCACTCCTCCATCAGATCTGGCTCACGAGTGAGACCTCTGCCGGCGTCCTTCTAGATGTGTCCGGCAGCGTCCCAGTCCTGCTCTGCGGGTCTGGCCTGGTCACTAGACCAGAGGCCCCTCGCTTTCGTGGCTTTAGGTTTGTGCCCTCGGACCAGAATGGGTTTCCTTAGAGGCAGGGGCAGGCCCGCTCTGTCCGTCGGGGTAGGAGGTGGGGATGGGTATGCATCCAGGGGACAAGGGGCAGATGGTACTGTCCGGTGTCATGGGATCCCAAAGCCGAAGGAGAGCCGGGAAGTGACCCACCACCCATGTTTATAGGCTAGGAAACGGCCAGAGGTGCCACATGGTGCTTAGCGTTCAGCGAAGGAAATCGACAGTGGGGTCACCCAGCTGCCACTGAGCCCCATCATCTTCGGGAGCAGAGTGCTCTCCGGTCTTGCTGGAGCCCTTGAACGTTACTTTCACGGTGATCCGTGTCCAAGACGAGCTGTCGGGCAGCTGGGGGGAGAAGAGGTTCCTGTAGGTTTGAGTGAGGACATCCAGTGTGGTTTCACTATTTGAATGTGAGTCGTCGGTTTTTATTACTAGGTGGTCAAGGCCAGAAAGGGGTTGGCTCCACTTTGAAGTGGGTGCTGGTGGTGGCAATAGTGAATTTAGGGGACCCCTTAAGCACACCTCTTTTTTCCCCTGGGTACATCCTTCTGTTTGGGTGACTGCTGTGTTTCTGAGGAAAACGAATGATGGCATCGCATGTGGTTTGTATCACAAAGAGAAATGTATTTTTTTTCTTTATCTTTTCCTCTTTAATTGCAGGACATTTTGGCACAAGTCCTACAGATTTTATTGAAGTCGAAGCTACTGGTATGTTTGGGCCTTTTCTGTGTTAAGCTAGAACAAAGCCTTGTCCTGAGACCGTGTAGTAACACTTGTCTTTTGACAGGTCCTGGAAGACGAAAATGCCAATGTTGATGAGGTGGAATTGAAGCCAGATACCTTAATAAAATTATATCTCGGTTATAAAAAGTAAGGAAAACCTACTAAGTAGGGGCTTCTAGACCACAGACTCCTGTCCCTGTGTCCGTTCCCCCCGCCCCCCATCTGCAACGGGGCTGCAGGCGGAGGCCGGGCGTGGCGAGGGGCGGCCCCAGCACCCGGCCGGGGTTCCGTCTGAGGATCCTAGATTCTCCTCCACTCAACCCCATCTCAGGTGTTGGTGGTTTCTGCATTTGGCAGGCGGCTCCCTAAACGGCTCCGCGAGAAAGGTTGGACTTCTGTGTCCGAGTGACTTGATTTTATTTCATTTGACCAAATTTGGGAGAGCAGAGGAAGGCGCTGAGTCTCCCGTGACGCACGTGTCCTGTCCCTGGCTGGGTGGGAGGCCGCGTGCCCTCTGCCCTGCTCTTGGGGAGCGGGGGCTTCTTACAGAGTGAAAACGGAAGGACGCCTTCGGCGCCCGTCTTTGGAAACAACAGTGATTGGTTTCCTTCATGTCTTGACAGTAAGAAGTTAAGGGTTAACATCAACGTGCCGATGAAAACCGAACAGAAGCAGGAGCAAGAAACCACACACAAAAATATCGAGGAAGACCGCAAACTGCTGATTCAGGTGACTCTGGGCCCGCGTCGGGTGGTGCCCCTCGCGGAGGTGGCCGATCGAAGCCGGGCTCACATTGCGTGTGGGTCGGGGTGGCCGCCAGGCTGGCAGCGGCTTCTGACTGGGGCAGGGAAATGGACGAGCCGGGGCCAGGGGGTCACGGTGAGGTGGCCTCTGTGGCTCTGAGGACTGAGTGTTTTCTCGTTTCTGAAGTGCTCTGTACTTGGGCAAAATCATTAGATCAGACCAAAACACACTGATGTTTCTTACGTTCGAGCTGAAACATCGTATCCTGCCATGTGCTTGTTAGCGTTTATGAAATCACGGTCCTCTGCGGAGGGACAGCAGCCTGTTGGCTAGTGGTCCAGGGTGTCGAAGGGCGGCTCTAACAGTGGGACGTCCTGGTTTCCCCCCTTGGGTGGCGCAGGCGGCCATCGTGAGGATCATGAAGATGAGGAAGGTCCTCAAGCACCAGCAGCTGCTTGGAGAAGTTCTCACTCAGCTGTCCTCGAGATTCAAACCGCGGGTCCCAGTGATTAAGGTACACGAATCACCCAGCAGAAGCACGCCGTTTCTTACGTTAGAAGAGAAAAGGTGTAACAAAAACTAGATTGAAGGAACTCGCTTATTCATACGTACCAGGTTTCTACATAAGAAAATAAGCTTAATTTTTAAGCCTTTTTATTGACCTCTACATCTACAGAGCCGTGCACAAATCCTAAGTGTTCGGTTTGCTGATTTTCCCAAAGTAAATACACTTGTACAACCAAGACCCAAATCAAGAGGTTAGAAGGTGACCAGCATTCCAGAAGCTTCCCCCTTGCTGCCTCCTAGCCAGTAGCTCTGCTCCCGTAGAATCCCCTCCGGCCTGTCTGTAGCCCCCCACAGCAGTGCTGCCTCCCTCGGAGCTCGGTGTAACCGGCTTCTAGAGAGTTCCCGCTCTGCTGTGTCCGCCGAGGATGCGCTCCTCGGCCCGTTTGGGGGTGATCGCCTGGGCCGTAGTTGGTCCGCGGTGTGTGCACCTTCGCTGCTGGATGGTCCTCCCCCGCGTGAGCCGACCGCAGCTCTGGGCGATGGCTACCTGCCTCGGTCTAGTGGGCTGTCGGAAATAGAAACCCGGCGGCTCTCTGAGACCACGTGGCCGAACAGCAGCCGGTGCGGAGCCCCCGAGGGCGGCAGCTGAGCGGTGACTCCCCGGCAGGCGGGAGGCCCCCTCTACCCCCTGGGGTCGCGTGTAGCCGGGAGCTGGCGGCTGGTGCGGCGCCTGGCCCAGTGGCTGGGGTGTGGGGAGGCCTGGAGGGACACAGGCCCCTCTCAGCGGGGACTTTGACGGGATGGGCACTTTCCCATTCTGGAAAGCAAGGTCTTGGCCGCCCGGGAAGGAAAGCCGCGTGCTGAAGGGGCGCAGGGGATGAAGTCGCTCCCTGACTGAGCTCTCGGGGGCGGGGGGGAGCGTCCCTGCTGAGGGTGGCCAGCTCTGTTCCGCTAACAAACGTGTTTTTCTTCCCCTTTCGCTACCTCTCCCTTTTTTAAAATAATGCCCAGAAATGCATTGACATTCTGATCGAGAAAGAATATTTGGAGCGAGTTGACGGTGAAAAGGACACCTACAGTTACTTGGCTTAACCCTTCTAGAAGGGTCTGACTGTGCGACCCACAGCAAATAGTTCCTGGTGGAGAGAACAACTCAAGTTCATAGCAGCCAGCCTGCCACCATCTGGACCTCCCTTTTTAAAACTGAGACCGAGACTCCCCAGCAGCTGGTCTCAGGTGTACATCAGAACTGCTCAGGATTGATACATTTCAAGTCTGTAAATATGGACGCCAACGCCATTTAACCTAATTTAAGAACAGAGGGGACTCGAGGCTCCCCTGCTGAGGGCTGCATGCTACTGCATTTAAATCAATCCATCGGCTACGGGGTTAACCGCTGTCGTCCTTGGCAGCTTTACAGCGTTGGCAGCACTTTGAGAGCAAGGCTAATGGACCCACGTGTAATCTGCTATGAAAAACCATTTGTATAGTGTGTTTCATTTTTTAATGTGTGAAAATAAAGAAAATTAAAGGATTTCTGTACAAGTCGCATTTGGTGGTGTTTTAAGTTTTACTAATTCCTACATATAAGTAAAAGCTGTAATGATTGTGCAGATTTATAATCCCATGTCTTCCTGTAGAAAAGGCTGCATTCTTCAGACTGAAAATGTTTTTTGCACCTTAAAACCGTAAGCCCCCTCGTCTCTCCCCACACGCTCCTGCGTCTCTCTGGGACTTGCTGGAAGCGTGTTGCTCCTCTTGGCCACTCGGGAGGACTGGCCTCTCGCGGGGAGTGCCCCCTTTCCTGGGTGGGGGCCACGGGGAGAGGAGGGGGCTTGGTGCCGGCTCCCTGCCTCTCCGCCGCCCTGTCCCCACGGCCACAGGCCCCCATGCGTGCTCACGCCCGCCTCCGCTTCCGACAGTGGTTCGCACACGCGGGCGACAGTTGAGGACGAGCACATCCACTCCTCCTGGTAAGACAGCGCCTCGGCCCTGGCCCGAGGACAGCGGCGAGACCCCCGCCTCCCACTGCTGACGGGCCAGCAGCCGGGGCGGGGGTCGTGGGGGCCCGAGCTCCAAGCCGCGCTGCACAGGCTGGGCCACGTGCTAGCGAGCCCCTTTTGCAGTCACCTGCTGGCCAGGGGACAGAAGGGAACGGAGGTGGTGGCAGAGACTCTTGTCCGCGGCCCAGCTTCCTCCAGGGACAGGAGCACCTGCACCTCCACCTGTGCCCTGATCAGTGACACGTGGAAGACGCAGAAGTGCAGTTCCCCCCGTTTCTTGGAAGCTTTGGCACCTGCAGGTTTGTTTAAATCGGATAAAAACAACGGTAATAGCGTTCATGTCACAGCTTCCGGTTTTACAAAGATTCCCACCGTAAAGAGAAAGCAGGGGTGCCCGGGGCTCCCCACGCATGCTGGCCTTGCCCCCCCCACATCCTCTCAGCGCTTGTGTCCTTCTGTCGAAGGTGGGAGAGACTTCCTGAGACCGGGCCGGGGTCTCGAAGCCGTCCCGGATGGAGAAGGGACCCCGGGGTACACGGCAGGACACGCAGCCGGCGAGCGGGTGAGTCAGGCGGCCCTCCCACGAGCTCACCCCGTCCCCGTCCCCGTCCCCCTCACGCTCGGTAAAGGGCCACTGCACGGGTGTAGAAAGAAAAACTCCGTGCGTTTTGCCTTTCTTCCCCAAACTGCCCACGTCTGGCAAAATGAGGTGCCTCCGAATGCCAGCCACGAAAACCGAGGTCCCACGCGGGCCGACGAACCACAGGTCTCTTCCCAGGTCCCCAGGGGCCTGCGGCGCGCGGTCCCCGTGCAGAGGCTAAGCCGGAGGGGGAGAGCGCGGGCTGCCGGTTGACGGACCACCACCACCAGGCTGCAGGCCGTGGAGGCCGGGGCCTGAGGGGCCGGGTTCCTCTCACCCAGGGAGGACACCTGCCCGGTAGGACCTTAGTCAGCAGTCGCTGAGGGTACCAGGCTCTCCGCGCGGGGCCGCTGTCAGACGGGCCTGTGTAGACAGGTGCCCAAGCACCTGTCAGCGGCTTTGCGGGAAAGCAGCCGGGAACACTACCGTTCAGGCCCCGGGTGGCTCGGGTAAGGGGACAACAGTGGGTAGAGGAACAAGGGCACCTGCAATTTAAAATATTCCCATTGACTGGCCTGTCTCCTTGCTGAACACTGGTATCTAATTTTCCTTTGAAAGAAATCAGGATTTCTGCGATCCCTGAATTGAGTCCCCCTTTTAATTTTTTTTTTTTTTTAGAAATCACAGTAACTTGGCTGGTTGGGTGACTTGCTTTTGTTCCCTGAACCTCACCTCATGCACCTGTCCAGTGGCAGACCAAACGTACTTGCCCTCACAGGTGAGTGTGGACGTTTCTTAAGCCGCCTTCCTGGAGGGACAGGTCACATCAAAGGCTCTGCCCACCGGATCTGTTGGACCACTTCTCGAATCCTGTCCCAACGGGGGGCTGAAGTGTACGCATTTTCAGCTCTTTCCAGTAAAAGCCCAAAGCTCCTAAAATGATCAACAGAATACTGAAGTTCTTTGAAAATGTTCACCGTCAGGAACCTTTCGTGATGACCTGCGTACACGTTTAAATTACACAAGGTGTGAGTTCACACGCAGCTGTGGGGACAGGGGCAGTTGCCGCGCGTCGGCGGAAGCCAGGACTTGGCGTCACTGAATGGCTATGGCTACTGTGAAGGTTGGAGATTGAATACACCAAGAAAATATTGGAAGATAATTAAGCAGCTTCTAGATGGATGCTTATAGTTTGCGTTTTTGTAAGAAACTACCGATTGAAAATAATGTTGCCAAGCAGAATGTTCTCAGTGCCCTCAGATCTGCCTGTGGCTTGGTCTGTGGATGTTGAGACCGTCATTACAGCCCTGGGTCACCTGCCTGTGGTTCTTTATGACCAGTGGCAGCACAGAAATTGGCCAGCAGGGCAACCTTGTCAGGCTGTGGCCATCCATCCAAAATGAACAAGGTAGGATATTCCTAAACTATCGAAACACATCTTTATCCTGGTGCAGTACTTGACTCCTAGATTCGTCCTCCTTAGCCCTAGATTTTCTGTTGGGAAATAAGCACCAGGCTCACACACAGTCACCTCCCAGTGGAGGGGAAGGGGGACACTCTATTTTTGAATTTAGCCTTTCCCCCCTCCATTTTGGCTTTAATTGGGTGTTTGAATACTTTGTATGCCAAGCTCTGTGGCCCACCCCTGCCGCTTTATAAATAAAGGAAAATCGAAAGCAGGCCAGATGTGATTCAGGATGCCCTTTGTCACGTGTGATTGGGTCGGAGAATCTGTGTTCACCGTGAATAGGACACTGGAGAGGTGCTCTTCAAATCCGGGTACAGAAAGCTTGCTGTGAGGTGCTCAAAATGACTGTTCTCCGTGAAAATTTGTACTTTGTCTGGAGGATGCATGTGGGTCTCTGGTGTCCTGAGCGAACAGGACCTCCGGGACTCAAGGATCCACCCCCAGCTGTTGACACCGGGGGACAGGCTGGGAGCGGTCAACAGTAGAAAAACCGGGGCTAGAAGCAGCTCCGCATCCGGAGATCCCGTGGGGCAGGTCATCAGCTGCCCGAGAGCGAATAAATGGGCCGCAACCATGTCGAATGCCGAGGGCGGGACGTACCAGCGCGGGCGAGCCCCGTAGGTGCCCTCCGTGGGTCAGCAGCGGCCCGCTGAGCATATGGCGCCGACTCGGGGCGGGGAAGACAGCGGTCTGTCCCCATGTCCTGCAAGACCGAACAGCCGAGAAGAGCAGAGCAGCACACACGAGATGGGCGTCCGAGGCCAGGCCTTCTCGTTGCCAGAGCGAAATGGCAGTTAACTTTATTTTAGGACTGGCATTGCCACGGCGGATGCATCAATGCAGCAGAGACCAGAGTCTTGTCCGTGTTTGTGTAACTGGGAAGGTAGGTTTTATTTATACGTTTCACATTAAGTATTACCACGTTATGTAACCCCAGGCTGGTGAAAGCTGTCAATCCAGCCGTGACGCTCGAGTTGGGGGAGGGGGGGTCTGAATCTTTTCTTCAAGAAAGAAAAGGAGTTTGGTCCTACCATCCCCTTCCTTAGGCGGGAAAGGTTTCTGAGCGCCTGAGTCCAGACCTTCCACGGAGTTCAGAGCTGTAGCCGGCGGGTCCGGCTGCGATTGGCCACGTGGAGAACGAGGCTCACAGGCTTCGTCCCTGACGGGCAGCTTTCACTTACTACCAGGCAATGCTGGTGTTGACAAATTATCAATTATACACATCATGTATCTTCTATATATGCCATAAATATGTATTCTATGTTTGTTGCTATTACCTATGAACAAGGACTTTGCCCCGCGGTGTTCGAGCGCCCAGCAGCCAGGGGGGAGTGCTCTCCTCGCCGCGCTGAGCCGCGGTCCTGGGAATGGACAGACCGGTACCAACGACCCAACACCAGGAGGAAGTTCAAGTATTCTTTATTCAAAGTTGAAAAATGTACCATACTGCATTATTGCAAAAATTCACTGGTACAAAACACTCTGCAGCTGGTGAGAAGGCAATAAAAAGTTGATTTTTAAACTCATTACTATAAATTATTCTTACAGTACTTTGCAAATTCAGAATTTCAAACTGCATTTTATTTCTCTAAATTGCCCACAGTACTCGAGGTTCCTGAAGCTAAGGCAGCTGTTCCAGAAAGGAGGAGGGGAAGGAGGAGGTAGCAGACGTCAAGGGATTTCCATTTCTCTTTCGATGCCCACGTACTTGAGGGCGTCAGCCTGGCTGTATCTGAAACGGCACGAGAAAGGCATGAGCCGGCGTCCAGCCCAGGTGAGCGTTCCCCCCGGCCGGCCTGCTTCGCGTCGGGAGCGCGCCCCGCATCTCCGCCCGCCCGCAGCTGGGGCACCCGCTCGAGGCCAGCTGAGACCTGGACAGGCCCGTTCGCACAACCCTTCCCCGGCTTCTGCCCCTCGGGCCCCGACACGCTGCTTTGGAAGGCGGCTGATGTGGCCGGGACCATGACCCCGGCTGCCGCACACGGGGAAGCCGTGACCTCGCCCTGCAGGAGGGGGGCTTCCTCGGCTCCGGGCGGGGTGGTCTCCAGCTCGCCTGCCATCGTGCGGCAGGTGCCATGAAGAGTGGCTACACGTGGCCTCGTTCTCAGTCCTCAAAACTTAAGCTTCTTAAGGGGACAACTAGTCAGCCACAAAGTCCTCTGCTTGCATCTAAATATACGTTCTTGTCAACTCACCCCCCCAGACTACCCTGCCAGCCTGACGCTTGTGAGGTCCAGGGGGGCCGCGTGTCCTCCGCACCCTGACAGCAAGCACGACTTCCCACAGGAAGGACCCAGACGCCGACCAGGTAGGGGATGAGCCAGCCATGTCTTGGCCGTGAAAGTACTAAACGGGCAGGCTGTAGGAAGTACTTAAGCAGTTAAAGAGACTACGCTGCCGCCCGAACCCCAGTACGGCCTGGAATCCGCGAGCTCGCTGCGCAGCCGGACGGGACCGCCGTCACCAGCGGGCTCAAACGCGGGCTGCCTGCGTTCCTTCCCCACACGGGCAGACCGCATGGCGTTGCCTCGCAAATACATCCCCACCGACCCACCCACCGAGGGTCTGCGGCAGCCCTGCCTCCAGCGAGTCTGCTGGTTCCATTTTTCCAACGGCATTTGCTCACTTTGTGTTTCTAGGTGAGATTTTGGTAATTCTCACAGTATTTCCAATGTTTCCATTATTGTTACATGTGCTACGGTGATCTGTGATCGGGGACCGTGGATGTTACTACTGTGATTGGGGTGCACGAACCGCATCCACAGGGGCTGATGGAGGTGACGGAGAAACGGCATGTGCGTTTTGACTGCTCCACCGACCGGCTGTCACCCCCCTGCCTCCCTAGTCCCCGGTTAATAACCCTACAGTGGCCTCTGGGTGCTCAAGTGAAGGAGGAGTCGCAGGTCTCCCTTTAAATCAAAAACGAGAACCCATGAAGCTCAGGGAGGAAGGCATGTTGAAAAGCCAGATACGCCGGAAGCTAGACCTCTTCCGCCAGTGAGCCAAGTCATCAATGCAAAGGAAAAGGTCTCGAAGGAAATTAAAAGTGCTACTCCAGGGACGCCCAGCTGGGTCGGTTGCAAAAGCGTGTGACCCTTGGTCTTGGAGTCGTTAGCTGGAGCCCCACGTTGGGTGTAGAAGATTGATAAAAAAAAAAGTGCTACTTCGGTGAACACGAGAATGCTAAGAAAGCGAAACAGCCTCACTGCTGGCCTGGGGACAGGGACAGTGGTCTGGACAGGAGACCACCCCGGCCACACATCCCCTTACGCCCAAGCCCAATCCAGAGCCAGGCCCGCACTCCCCTCCGCTCCGGGGCGGCCGAGAGGGGAGACGCGCACCGGGACACCTGACGCGGGCGGAGGCCGGCTCCGTAGCCAGGAGCGCGCGGAAGCGGCCAGTTTTCCAGAAGGTCGAGCTGAGCTGAGCGACGAAGGAGGCCGCGCGAAAGCCCGGATGCTCCGCGCCGGCGGAGCGGCCCTCTCTCCGGAGAAGACCAGCCGGGCCCTCCCCAGCCGCCGAGGACAAGGCAGCGCCGGCGGCCCAGCTCCGCGGGACAGGCCGCCCTCTCGCGAGGGGCCAGCGCGGCCGGTGACCTGCCCTCGACGCCGGCGCTCGGGGCCCTTCTGAAAACCCTCGGGTGCCCAAGGACGAGGCTAAGCGCGCTCGGCCCGTGCGCTCGAGCCGAGGAGAAGAGGACGAGGAGCGCGGCCTGACGCGGGCACCGACGGGCCGCACGCTCGGGACAAACGGGACCGGCCGAGCACGGGGGTTCCCGAGTCCCCTCCCTGTCCGGGGGGACGAAGGACCCGGCGCGTGACAGCAGCTCGGCTGATGCGGCGGCGGCGGGGCCCGAGAGCACCGACCCCCCTTCCGAAGGCAGCTGTCCTGGGGGGGAAAGGCGCCCGCCGCGGAGGGCGAGCCGTCGGTGCGGGGAACTGCACGGGTGTCCGGGGAACCCGCGCGGCCGCGCCGGCCTCCAGCGCCCAGCACCCGGGGGGGGGGGGGGGGGCGGGGGGGGGGACTCAGGGGCCGCCAGCGCCGCCCCCACCCTCCACCGGCAGGAAGATTAGCATTCACTTTACTGCAGTGGTCGGGCACCGAACCCGCAATATCCGAGCTCTGCCTGCCTTTCAAAAATCACCATTACTTGTGTGGTGGGAACTACGTTACCAAGAAAGTACACCTAAATGCCCACCGCTGCCCCTGACAAATAATGACCAGGAGCAAATCCCTCTAAGAATAGAAGATCCGACAAAGAGAGAAGAGACAGCCCTTGTCCACAGCTCAGACTTCAGGAAGATAAAGCCCTCAGGTCACACCAGAAATATGCTCTTACCAACCTGTAATCAAAAAACAGCTCTTCACCCGTCTGGATGGCTCTCTTAGCAAAAATCCCTATCCTGTGATCGCCGTTCACCATCATAACTGGAACGAGAAACACACTGGTGTGAGTCGCGTGAAGACAGGCCCCGGGAGCGCCCGACCCGCGCACACCAGCATGTGTCCCAGGGCCACTCCAGTCCAGCACTGGTGTGCAAGAGCTTCTCTTGGGAATCCTGGCTCCATTAGCACCTACCTTTTGCATAGCAGTTTGGATTTACTGAATGATTTGCAAAACGGATTTTGTTACCCTTGCGGGTTGCATCCACCACAAAATCTAAAGAGAGAGAAAATAAGCATCATCAAGTGAACCGTTTCAGGCCTAGTTCTGCACACATGAAGTCATTACAGTTCCAGAGACGCTCCTGGCTCTCGTTCTTCAGGGCTTGCCTTTACAAAACACGGAATCGAAATGCCTAACTTCACAGGTAAGCATTTCACGTTTAAAATTACTTTTTTTCATTCTTCTCTCTGTGGAACACGTTCACAAAAAGAACTTCTGCTCCATGTCCCAGCTGAGTTACTCTGAGGCTGGGGGTCAAGCACAACACCCTCCCCCCGTAGCAACACCTACTGCAACCTGATGTCCTCTAGCCGAGATCATCATCTAAAAACCTGCTTCCTTACTCTCACAGCCTTCGAGAACACCCAGGGAAGTCCAGGAAAGGCTGCCCAATTCAGCGCTCCAGCCCCTTCCCCGGTCAGTTGGGAGCACTCATGACAGAGGCGGGGGCCAAGCGGACCCCAGGCCCAGGTCGTCGGCAGCAAACCCGCAGCAAGCTCCGAGCCGTCCGGTCCAGCCTGGTGGGCTTGCGAACACACAGCCCGTTCCGAAGCCTGTGGCAAGGCGTAAGGGATCCCCGGCGCCCGTAAGGTGAAGGTGGAGCCCCCCTCCCCCGCCACCTTCACGTCCAGACTCCAACCAGCGGAGGGCTCCCGCATGGCCTCAGGTCAAACATACCATTGTTTAAGTTGAACAGAAAGCTGCACATGTATTTATCATACACTTTCCCTCTTCTGTCTGCTTCATCTTGAGAAATAATCTAAAAAGGAAGGCAGAGGATAAGATTGTTTGGGATTAGGTGATCGAGACCGGCAGGCGCACACACACAAGCTCCTCAGGAGAATCTGAGACCTTCATGAGGAACCCCAACCACCGTCCCTGCAGCTGGTCTCAGGCTGCGTGCTGGTATTTAGAACCAGGATCTTTTAAGGACTTCAACTCACTGAAATAACATTTCCACATCAAAAGGATGCAGAAAGTGATTAACAAAAAAGTCTTTTCACTGAAGAAAAAATACAAACTGGTTGGGTTAATTGCAAAATGAAGCCAGCCTGATGGTTTTTCCCTAACTCTACAAGTAAAAAGGCATATGATTAATGACACTGTCATTTCTAGATCCTTATCAATTAGGCTGTGGATTAAGTAGGGCAGACTCCACAGCACAAAGCTCTTGTTCCCCACCTTGTCCCTAGATGATAAATGCCAAATGTGACAAGGACTGAAGCAGTCTATTTACCAAGCAAGCCAAACCCAGAAGCAGGAGTTAAGTCCAAGCTGAAAAGGCATTTTTTATTAATTCACTTCTAATCAAACCCAACAGACTCGTCCAATGACATCAACCCAAAACAAAGTTACCTACGATCCCACACGAATACATGAGACCAGTATACACTAAACTGCCTGAAACTGGTTACTCTTGCCTTACCTCTCCACAGTACTCCGAGATGAATTCATTTTTCTGTACAGGATCTTTGATGAAAATCCCCCAGCCTGCCACATCAGATGGTGCCAGCAATAAATGCTAGAGAAGAAAGCGCACTCAATCGCATCGGCAAAGCGTGCTGACACGTTAACTGCAGGGTGACCCACTGTCCGGCCTCAGCCCCATTCGAAAGCAGCCATTCAACCAGACGCTGTCGGCAGGAGAGCCCTGAGCACCCTGACCGAGGGGCCAGCCTCCCAGGTATTGGAAAACCACGGTTTGCTTTAAAGCAGTATCTGACCCTACCATTAAACAAATGAAACCCAGTTGGTAAAAAAGTATGTTATCTTCTGTTTCAGGAGAAGGTGTGTCAACATCAACAGTTTCTGAAGAGAGAGGAGTTTAAGGACAAGTATGGGGTGAGGGAGAAAGGGGATGGTGAGGACTGAGCGGGGGGGCCCCGGGGACTGTCCCAGCATCACTAGGACGTGAGAACGAAATTAACCTAGAATAAGAAAACCACCTGACCCCTGAACCCATCACAGCCAACACACAGCTGCTGCCAGGACCAGAGTTTCTGGTGGAGGGCACGACTGCCCCGCACGAGATCCCAGTTGCGTCCTATGATGGCTCAGGAACCTAACATGTGAATGTTGTCCGTGTGTCCGTCGTCCACCTCCCCCCCAACCCATGGGCAACACAGGCCATGACCTCAGCAGCAGGGGGTTCAGGGCCAGAAGGCCTGGGCTGGGGTTCATGGTTATAGTTAGGAGGACTAGCAAGCGGACACACACAGCACTTAGAACAGGGCCTGCCCTGTATGACATCATCCTTAGATCTCTAACAGCTAACATTTGAAGAAACCCTGGGTCTACCCTAAAATCAGACCGTGAGCTTCCCCCAAACGATGCTGGCAGGTTCTTCTGCTCGGTCATCACCTTCTCGGGGCTCCAGTTACCGACCCCTGCCTGTACCTCGCAGGCCATAGCTCCGTGGTGGTCCCGGCTGTGTCCTCAAGGTCATTAAAGAAACGGAAAGAAGTGTGCAAAAACCGGGTCTCTGTGTTCTGACGGGCACACCATGTCCTCACACGGAGACTAGAGAACGACTTCTACATACTAGAAAAATCCCTCTCCAGAACCTGGTGCCATTTGGGGCTGGGTCACCTTACACGTAGCAAATGGAAGACTGGCTAAGGGCCCGTAACGCCCCACCTCCCGCCGTCCCATCAGGAAGCCCCGTGGCTTTCACTAAGGGCAGCGGCGCGCGGCCCCGGGGGGGGGGGGGGGTGGTAACCTTCTTTGAGCCGCGCTGGATGCTGCAGTTCTTGCAGGACACGTTCTTGCTGTCCCAGTGGTCGGCGGCGCCGCACGTGAGGCACAGGTCGGGGTCGCACTCGCGCACGGCCAGGTAGCACGGACACTGCTTCGTGTTGCACTGAGCTTTGCAGCGGCAGCCGGGGAAGCGGTTCTGACCTTCGGAAGGACATTCCTCGTCACGTGGAAACCCTGCGGAACCCTCACCGCCGGTCCCCACCGCGTCCCCCCACCCCCGCCCACCCAGACTGAGAGGAAACCCGTGGAGGGACAGGAAGTGAGAGCTGTCCCTTCTGAGAACGGTCACCACTGAGCTTCGGGCTTTCCCTTCGTATTTGGTAGGTGGTACGTGTACTTCAGAGCTGTTTTATTGAGCTGTTTTATTTAGCCTGCCTTCACACCCATTTTATAAGAGCCATGGTTCGTGACCCTTCTGAGGGTCCAGAGTTCTAGACGCTTCCTTGCTTTCCAAGCGGCCTGTGCTGTTTCGTTCAACGTCTCCAGTCACCGTTAGGCTGAATTCTGAGCCCAGCGCACCGACCATTTCCAGCAGCCAGAGGACCTGGGCAGCCATTTCTAGATGCCCTTTACTCTGTGCCAACTCTACTATGATTTAATTTAAACAATCCAATTCCGCCTAACCTGCCCACAGACACACTGGCCACTAGCGCAGAGCCCGTTACGGCGCCCCATAAATCTTTGTAGGATAAATGCATTTCCTAAAATCTTGTTTGGCTTACTAGTTTAAACCGCTGACCAAAAGCCTGTGTAATTCTCATGCAATTCATCAATTCATCAAAACAAAAGAAATACTTACACTCTGAACTACATTGACAAAACTTTTCACAAAAATTTTGTGCTATCACACAAGGGCACGAACTGTCACAAGGCTGCCGTGGATGGTCACAGGGCTGGTAGTTGTAAACGTGGTTGGAGGAGCCGTCTGCGTAAGGACAGATCCAGAGGCGATCAAACACAACGGCCAAGACTATATTCTCCCCGTTACACCTGGCATGCGGCAGCTCTTCCGCGCTGTACTTGTTTACAGAGTGACGGCAGATACTACCTCCCACCCCCACGTGCTTGGCGAGCCCCGAGCACTGTCCCCCCGATCCCAGAGGACTGACTGGAAGTGAATCAGCAGACATCCTCCGTCTCCAGGGCTTTAATGTACAGAAGTCAATTATATCCGAATATCCCAAACACTAATCCAATTACTATTCTTAAACGAGTAGACAAGTTAATGATGAAGTTGAACAGAGAGATGCTAACCCTTTTTCAGCTGTATCTTTCTGCAGTGGGCAGCCCACAACCTGCAAGACACAAGACGTAAGTCACGTTTGTGAAGCCAGGGGCAGATCAACGGAAGCTACTCAGACGGGTCTGCGTGTGCCCCGAACCTGACAGCGCTCCGAATCCAAGGACAGATGACCCTTGAACAATGTGGGGTTTGGGGTGCAAACATCCCACACCATCCAAAATCTGCATGTAAGTTCTGACTCTCCAAAAACTCAGCCTGTGGACCAAAAGCCTTACTGGTAACGGATTGATTAGTACAGATTTTCTATGTCATCCATATTATATACTGTGTTCTTACAATAAAGTAAGCTAGAGAGAAGAAAATATGGGGAAACTCTATTTACAGGACCAGAAAACACATGGAGGTGGCCCCATGTCGTCTGAGGGTCAGCTGTCACCACGCAGGAGCACGGCCGCCTCCCCTCCGGCCCTGGCTTTCTGTGGCGGCCCACGTCTACCTGGGCTCAGCCTGCAATCGTATCGTTTCTCTAATTTCAGGCATCTGTAGCCATTCCACGGAGCTGGATGATCAGAACTCGACCAAGAAACTCAGCTGCATCTACTAAAGCCTAAATTCCTATGGCAAAAACTAGGTTCGCTCTTCCAGTTCTAAATGAAGTCGGTCCCGCCTTTCCTAAAGGGAACGTGAGCATGTGCGCGGTCGAAGTGTAGTCCTCTGCCCCTTACCCAACTATGCTGCTCTCCCGAGACCAGGGGGGCAGGAGGAAAGAGCGGACCCGCACGGTTTCGGGCCCTGCACTTCCGAAGGCAGTCCGCCTGAAAAGCCTCCCTGCGCTCCTCCCTGGCACGAGCCTCTGTGGACGGTGACCTTCACCAGGCCGCAAGCACCCCCGCACACGGACACCAGTCAGGCTGCTAGACTAAAGCCGGCTCCGCGCCGTCAGCCGTCGAGATTCCGGCCCAGGGCCACATCCTCGGTCCATCTCCGAGCAGGGGAGCCTTTCCTGCAGAAGCCACTAACTAGGTTTCCTTAATGAAAACGCAGCACTGGTGCCCGTCACTTTGAAGACGCCCCCCACACCCCGAGTCGACTGCACGCTGCTGTGCTCTTAAGAGGAAGCTGAGCGAGCACCTACGCCGACCCGACCCCGCCGCAGAAGCGCCCCGGTGACCCTCGGCCGGCCGCACACAGGCTTACCGGTGTTTCCTCTTCTTCTTCCTCGGCGGGGTGTCCACATCCTCGGCCGGGGCCGGAGCTATGATACTCGATTCTTTGACGCGAAACTCATACACCTGACAAGAGGCAGAGTCACAGGGCCCTGAGCGCCGTGCGTGAGACTCGCCCGCACCAGACACCTCTCCGGCTCGGCGCAGGCGCTGCCACGGGCCGAGGACACAGCGGGAAGCGCACGCTGACCCGACCCTCGTGCGGGGAGAGCGGCCGCCACCACGCTCTGGATAAGAGGCGCAAGGCTAGCCTCCAGTCTTCCTGGCTTGGTAGATCCACTCCCCGAAATACCTCAAGTCGGAAGGATCGTTTTTCTCAGTGAAAAACGAGATGAACAGGAGCTGGAGGATAACCACGAATGGTCTTCTGTTTGGACAGTGACGACTTGGTTTCCCTCTATCTCAAGTTCCTGAACAGTATTTTATCAGACGTGCTTACCTGTCGACAAGTTTTGGTCCCAATGAGCCTAGCAATGGCACAGAAATTGTCATAATATGTGCCGATGAGGACCCTGAACATCGAGGCCTCAGCACCACTCCACTCCACGTTCTCCGGAGGCTCAATGTTGGGCTTCATCTTTATTGGCGTTTGACACCGAGAATTCGCTTCTAGAAAACCAAAGTTAAGCACTGGTCAAAAAATGACAATTGGAAAACAGTATTAAGAAGTAAAACCACGGGGCCTGGGTAGCTCAGTTGGTTGAATGTCTGCCTTCAGCTCAGGTCATGATCCCAGAGTCCCGGGATCGAGCCCTGCGTCGGGCTCCCTGCTCTGTGGGGAGTCTGCTTGTCCCTCTGTCCCTCCCCTCCACTTATGCTCTTTCTTTCTCAAATAAATGAATAAAATAAAGTAAAACTCAGGTTGTGCTTAAGAAAAAAGCAGGAAGTGAACCATCTTGAGAATAAACAATCAAGCCTCCCATGGAACACAAGGTTGGGCTGCCTTTAACACAACCTTCCGAAGTACAAGCTGAGGGGTGGCAGCCTGGCTCAGAGAAGCACGTGGCTCTCAATCTCAGGGTCTTGAGTTCATGCCCCGCATTGGGTGTAAGCTTACTTTAAAACAATGTAAATTGAGGGGGTCTACTGCTGTTACTCATGGTGTAAGTCACAGGCTGAAAGGACAAGGACAAGCCCAGCAGTAGAACACTGGTCGGGAGTGCCCATGGGCTCTCCTAATCAAAACTACCCCAGAAGAGCCACCAGATTAAAGCAAACAATGTCCTGTCCAAGAAGGATGGAGAAAGGACAGCGACACCCCACCTGACAACACATGGGATCGTCAACCTTCCAACAATCGGGCAGGCAGTTCTCACAGGCCCGGGTTGGGGTGCGGGCAGAAATTCCGTTCCACACCCTGAGGAATCTCTGCTCTCAGATTTGTCCTTACGCCAAGAACTAACCCACTGAGTAAAGTGCACGACCCATCCCACACCCTCCATCCAGGTCTTACCGGAGGAGCTGGAAGTCTCGTCCTTTTTCTCCTCCTCCTCTTTATCGTTGTTCTCCCCGCCCGTCTCGGTCCCTGCTTCCCTGTCACTGTCTGTGTCCTTGGACTCCAGCACGTTGATGGTGGGGGTGCTGGGCCGGCTGCTGTTGGTGGGGAGCCTGCCTCTCCTGCGGCCGCCGGGCCGCTTCGGCGGGGTCTTGATCCGCTCCGCGGTGAGGGCGGCAGCGAACTCCTTTGCTCCCTCCTACAAAGTGAAAAATGTACACATCAAGGTCAAGTTCTACAACTCGTTTTGTTAGATGAGAAAAAAAGGATTGCATAAAGCAAGTTAGTCAATAAATATATCACAATATCCATTTTTACAAATCATTTCCATATCTAGATGCTCTTGGCTTTCTATCTGCTTTTGATAGTTCAAAACTTTCAGAAAGGTACATATACGTTCTCTTTGTGCTACAGGGGATGAAATTAGACAATTCTATGAGCTTGCAAACTATATAAAGTGATTGTAATAAGTTAAAACATAATATAATAATATAAAAAATGTATGAACTTTTATGCGAAGAATCATACCTAATGTGCATCCAGAGTCATACTTTCCTATTTCAGGCTTTCTTAAGATACCTCTCTCCGATAATATTTAAAGTACACAAGAAGCATATAAAACAGAGAAACATGCCAGACTCTGTCACTTCCTTACTACTAAAACATCCCATTTTTTTCCAGTGAGGGATGTACAGCCCCCAGAAGATGTGAAAGGAGCCTGAGGAGCAAGGCTGCGAGCATTACATTCTGCATCAGCAAGTCCAGTAATCCAGTCTTAGAGAGTATGAAACAACAGTAAGATCACGGATTACAGAGAGACCACAGAAACATCTTCGATGAGCCAAATAAAATTCTGCCTTTACAGAGTATTATAAACTAGTGCTCAAGAGTTCCACCTTTAGTGGCAGGAGAAGGGAGAAGTTTGAGAGCAACCAGCAGTTCCACACTTCATTCTATAAAAACCAAATTGCTTAAAAATAGGATACCTTCTGCAGGTGCCATTCAATGAATCTTCTGTCCAAAATCCAACAGGCAATATATACCCATTTAGTTCCTAGGTAGGAGTGGCTTGGTTCAAAGAGGGGAAATGGTAAAAATAAGATAGTACCCGTGAAAAACAACTTTCCTACCTCATATTCTCCTAAACCCTTACCTTTTCTCCATCATTTAAAAAAACAAAACCTGTGGGACCGACCACCTGACTCAAACGACCATGGGTCTAAGACTCGAGAAGGGCTACGCTAAGGAAGGCTCACCGAGCTTCTGGGGCTTAGGGGGCTACCTGTGCTTCTCACGCTCATAAACGTGGGGGCAGGTGTAAGAGTCCTTGATCCTAAAGGCCTCAGAAGGTTGCTGAAGGGATTAACACAGACAGGCATAGAGTCATACGAGATTCGCGAAGGACTAGAACGTGCAGTACGTAGCGGCTGGGAAGGAACCCGCACGGGTGAGCATCCCTGCCCAGTACACGGCCAAGTACGGGAGCAACAGTACCACGCTGCCTGCAGTCCGCCAGCAAGACTCCTCCAGTGCCCTCTGATCGGGCAGCGCGTGAGCTTACCAAGTGCTGGTAACACTGCGGGCCACACGGTTTGTTGTCTAGAGCCGTCTCTGTGTTCTTCCGCTTGTAAGTATTGGGTGTTGCATGAAAAGCTGCAAAATAAACATAAAATATCCAAATATAACTATATTTACTTTTTCATTTCCACCGTTTCAAATGGAAAAAGTCACTTAATACGTTACAAACTTGCCAAAGTATTATTTCCATGACAGAACTTTCCTTCAAGCTCCTACTGAATCATCTCCACATATTCTCCTCGACTCTCCCCTGGAACACTGCCACTCCTCCCCACCAACCCCTAACCAGGGAGGAAACAGTAAATTCTGAAATAATTTGTGATTCCCTATTTTTCTTCTTACAAGTATAATTGATGCACATAACTCTAAAGTCTGATTATGAACATTTATTTAGTCTTTAATATTTCCAGAGAAACTGATACATCCCCTCTACAAGGAAATCAGATTTCCTATTTTGACCAAAAGAATTCCAACATCTACAATTTCTTGATTTCCAAATGAAGTTCAACAATCGGCTTGTCAAAATGGAGAAAAATAGGACAGCACTTGTTAAATAACTAGTTTTTTAAAATAAAGAGGATGGGATGCCTGGGTGGCTCAGTCAGTTAAAGCAGCCGACTCTTGGGGCGCCTGGGTGGCTCAGTTGGTTAAGCGGCTGCCTTCGGCTCAGGTCACGATCCCGGGGTCCTGGGATCGAGCCCCGCATCGGGCTCCCTGCTCCACAGGAAGCTTGCTTCTCCCTCTCCCTCTGCCTGCCTCTCTGCCTACTTGTGCTCTATCTCTGTCAAATAAATAAATAAAATCTTTAAAAATAATAATAAATAAAATTAAAAAAATAATAAAGCAGCCGACTCTTGGTTTTGGCTCAGGTCATGATCTCAGGGTCATAAGATCGAGCCCCGCATCGGGCTCCCTGCTCAGCGGAGAGTCTGCTTCCCTCCCTCGCCCTCTGCCTTCCCCCCTGCTTGTGCATGCTGTCTCTCTAAAATAAATAAATCTTCAAAAATAAAGAGGACAAGGGCGTCTGGCTAGCTCAGTTGGAAGAGCATGCAGCGTTCAAACCCCATGTTAGGTGTAGGGATTAAATAAATAAACTTTTAAATAAAAGGACAGCCTCAGACTACTGAAATTCAGTTTCTTCAGATCAGACACAATTCAGGAATCTAGTGAGAGCTTGTAGTCAGCACCCTTCTCCAGGAAACACGTGGTCACATAAAACAGGTTCTAGAAAGAAGTGTTTGAAACTTGAAATCCCCAAATAATGTGATAACAAGGATTCAAATTCTAGTACAAGGGCAAACTAAACATGAACACACAGCAGTGAAAACTTGCAGAAACCCTTGAGAAAGCCTACTTCCAGCTATTAAGGCAAATGCTAGAAATGCCCTGTTTAGAATTACACAAGATGAAAATTATCTTAATTTGGATAAAAGTGACACATTCATGAAACAAACCATTTTAAAAACATCTGTAGGGGCACCTGGGTGGCTCAGTCGGTTAAGCGCCCAACTTGTGATTTCAGCTTAGGTCCTGATCTCATGAGTCATGGGATTGAGCCCCAAGTCAGGCTCTGCACTCAACGTGGAGTCTGTTTTGAGATTCTCTCCCTCTGCCTCTGCCCCTCCCCCAACTCAAGCACATGCTCTCTCCCCCCAAAAACAAATACATTTAAAAAAAAAAAAAAAAAAAAAAGTCTCTAAAAAGCCATACTTCTATCCACAGAACTTAAATGGGAAAGACAGACTGATGAGGGAAATAAGGAAAAAAAGACAAAGGTATGTTTTTTGAAGTAGAAATTCAAGGTTCAAATTCTGTTTCAAGTGTGTGTTAGATTTCCCTGTGAAATGATAGACTGCTACCACAACTAATTTAGCACTGGGTTACATTTTTGAACAGGTGAGGACCCCTAAAATACAAAGTCTGAGCCTATAAAAAGTTAAAGTCATAGCAGCAGCAAGGAATTACACTGATCCAAAAAACAAGATCGTCCTTAACCAGTTAGCAGCACAAACGGAGTGATCTATTTTTGGTAAAATTTGTTTTTAGTGTGGATGTCTCCCCTATTTATATAAAGACTGATGTTCTCGATTTCACCTGATCCAGTGACATACGAAGGCACACACCTGCACAGAGGAGGGGGCAGCCCCACCAGTCCTGGGCGGGGAGACGCCACGGAGACATCAGTCACACAGCACTCAGCAGCCAAGGTCTGGCCATGAAGGAAAAGTTAACACACTAATAATCAAAGGTACTTTATTCTCAAAGGTAAAAAACATTCTTAATTTCACACAGCATTTAGCTCAAGAAAGAGAACTATTCTCCTTACTAGACTTCCCTCAGAATTTCAAACTTCAATTAAGAAAACTAGTTCTTTATTATAAAGAATTCCCTCTTCTAGAAATGTCTTGACTATTTGACATTTTCAAAATACTTAATATTTTCACATAGGCATCTTGAAACGCTAGTATTTCAAATAAGTTATTAAAATATTTTTCAAGCTAAATATAATATGGGCGGAGATTATATAAAATTCCCTGATCAAGAAAATTATTAGGAAATTGAAGCAAGCTGCTTTCTTTAAAACTTTACAAAAAGGAGAGAACATGGAATGTTGGCTTTTGGTTTTGGGGTGGGGTTTTTTTTTTGTAATTTCAAAAGCAACCTATAAAACCTTGATGAAAAATGTGAAGGTTTTCAAAGGTTTCACAGACCGTGCCAGCTCTTCCCTACCCTGTGAGTGAGTCAACTGGCAATTCTAAAAAATGGCTCAAAAATGGCAGACCCTCAGGACCTTCTGATGTTTCACCAAGTAACGATACCCCAAACACAGAACTGAGCAGTCAGAGAATTTCAGAGTTGGGACAACCTCAGCAATCACCTACTTCCAGTGGTGATTTTGCAAGTTAGGAAACAGGACCAAAGAGAAGAGTTTGCGTGGCTAGTTAGATGGCAGGTGTGCTGAGACCCTCATCCAGCAAGCCTGCCCATGGGGCAAGAGAAACCGCCCCTCTCCGTACTACACCACTTCCCTTAAATACTTCTTCAGCTGGTTGTCAAGTGACAAATATGACAGAATCAATGAACACAGATCAGTACAAAGTGTCAGTTTTATCCATTAGCTTCTGCTCAAAGTACTGAGCCTGTCTGCTCTGATTAGAACTTGGTATTAAGAATTCTTATTGAAGGGGCGCCTGGGCGGCTCAGTCCTTAAGCATCTGCCTTCGGCTCAGGTCATGATCCTGGGCTCCTGGGATCGAGTCCCACATGGGGCTCCATGCACAGCAGGAAGCCTGCTTCTCCCTCTCCCTCTGCCTGCTGTGTTCCCTCTCTCACTGTGTCTCTCTGTCAAATAAATAATTAAATCTTTAAAAAAAAAAAAAAGAATTCTTATTGAAGAGGGGCACCTGGGTGCTCAGTCGGTTGAGGGTCCGACTCTTGGTTTTGGCTCAGGTCATGATCTCAGGGTAGTGGGATCGAGCCCCATATGGGGCTCCCCGCTTAGAGGGAAGTCTGCTTGAAGGTACTCTTCCCCCTGACCATTTCCCCACTCATGCATGCTCTCCTCACAAATAAACCTTTAAAAAAAACTTCTTACTGCTCTACTTATAGTTGGAATCACATAAATTCTTGTGCGTATCACAGACGGCAGACTTGTAATACTAAGCACCTTACAAAACGACTGGGTCAATGTTCGGAGCATGGGCTGGTAGTAACAGCAGGTCGCACCGGCAGCTGCCGGTCAAGGCTCCTGTCTTCAAAGCACACAGTAAGAGGCTTTAGGCATTACCTCATTTAATCCCCACAAAATCCCCCAAGTACGAGGATTCTCATCCCCATTTTACAGATGAGAAAAACCGAGATTTAGGGAATCATTCCGGGTGACTTAAAATCCGAGGTTTAAGTCACTCCAATTACATGGCAACTACAAACTCTGTATGTCTGAATTTTAATCATTACACATCTGAAATACTAAAAAAAAGTCAACCATCAACTACAAACTATGGAATACTGTTTCTGAAATTCTTTTTTTTTTTTAAAGATTTTATTTATTTATTTATTCATGAGAGATAGAGAGAGAGAGAGAGAGAGACAGAGGGAGAAGCAGACTCCCAAGGAGCAGGGAGCCCGATGCAGGACTCGATCCCAGGACCCTGAGATCATGACCTGAGCCAAAGGCAGACAGACGCTTAACCATCTGAGCCACCCAGGCGCCCTTGTTTCTGAAATTCTAACCATTAAATGTTAAAAGCTCTACAATAAGCATTAATACAAATTCCAAAAAGAACAGACTTTTTTACATAATATCAGAAATGACAGACAGAACAGGGGTTTATGCTTAAAATGGATTCCTCTGTAGGGCACACAGGTAATAGGAAACCTAGCAAAACATTTATTCCAAGGTTCTACTTTTGATCCTATTTAAGCATATAAAATTTCCCAACCTCAATTTCCCAGCCTGCCTTCCTTCCCTCCCTATCAGAAATGTGTTACCTCTTTATACCCACCCACAGTCAATTCAGGAGCCGACCCTGGTTCCTCTAACAAGTGTCAAAGACAGACCAGGCCGCCCATTTTAGGCTGAGGCTTTTGTAAAGAAATTATGATTCCAAGTTTGCAGAACAACCCGTTTCCAATTTACAGAATGGATCAAGGTCTAAAATTTATTTGGAATATAAAGTGGGATTCATTCCCAAACTAAAGCCATTCATCCTTCAAGGTTCATTAGAACGCACAGGTCCCTCTAATGGAAAAGATCCATGGTCAGATACTGAGCTCTCGCTAAGATGAACTGCCAAACCCCTACCATCAAAGCATCTTCTTTATAGATAAAAATGGTAGACACACCCAACATCTAAATAACCTAGTTATCAGTAAGGCTACCACACAGAAATAATAAGGAATATATAACAACCAAAAAAGGCCCTTTCACCCGTAAGTTTAAAAAATTCTCCCTTAAACAGTGAGTTAAAAAGAAGACATAAAATATTCCTTAAAATTCCTTATAAATAATAGTAATACCAAACATAAGAACCTAAGAGAGGTTGAAACAGTACTCTAGAGACAATTCATTTCATGTTAAAAGCATATATCCAAAAAAAAAGAGAGAGAGAAGAATGGAAACAATGCAAAAATCACATTCATAAAGAGAAAAATAGTAAATCTAATACAGTAGCTGATTCTCTGAGGGGAAAATACACAAAACAGATTCTCAAAATAAACCACCGTTTAAGCTCATCAAGAAAAATGAGAGAATGAAATATTTAAGAAGAATTAGAACACTTAGACCAACTTTATACAAATAAATTTCAAAACCTGAGTGAAATAATATTTCAAAAGTGATCCAGAAGCCAAAAAAAAAAAGTATCTACTAGTACTAATATTACTTAACACTGTACTGAAGATACAAGCCAATGAAATTAGACAAGAAAATAATATCATAAAGACTGGAAAGACAGAAATAACTGCAGATAGTTTACTTACATAGCTCAAAAGCTCTAATAAGAATCCACTGAGAAACTAATATAAGCAGGGACAATTGACAAGGTATCAAGGTATAAAACACACAGGATTTAAAGAGAAAAAGCCAGGTAACAACCCATTAATACCTAGAAATCATTTTAAGAAAGAACGTACAAGAGCTACATGAAGAAAATTTGAGTTTATTAAAGGACACAAAAGGAAACTTGATCATATGGTTACACTTAATCCTCATTTTAAAATGTCAGTTTTCCCTTAGGTAATTAATAAATTTAATGGGATTCCAATAAACATACTACCTAGACTTTTTTTTTTTAATTAGACAAACTAAAGATTCTAAAAGTTACATTAAAAAACAAGCAAGAATAGCCAGAAGATCTCGGAATAAAGCCTCCTGGACAGAAAGACTCAAGGAACAAACGCAAAGGAAAGAGACCCAAGGGCACGTGGTGACGGGAAATGAAGGCGGCGGGTGCAGCAGCGAACGGCAACTTCCCGGGAAATGGTATGGTATGGAAGTAACTCGATGGCCTTGGAGGTGGAGGGGAGGGGTGGACCCAAAATTCTAAGAGAATAAACTCCAGTGACTCAATGTTAGATGCAAAAGAACGAAGCCTTAATCTGAGCACGGTGGATCGGGTTCACTTGCACTTGTGGGAAATGACGCACAGGTTCAGCCAAGGTGGTTCACTGTGCGCTGTTAGCGCGGGAGTCACAAGCAATCCAAATGCTAACCCCTAGGAACCTGTCAGTAAGTTCTCCCGTCTCCCACAGTGGGAAGACTACGCGGCTCTCCAGACAGGAATAATACCTACCAATATTCACTAAGTCAAAACAGGGAAAAGCCTGAAGAGTATAATACCTTTTGAATAGGACAGTCAGAAAAAGAGTATCTTTGCATTTTGCCAGAAAAAACTGACATGAGTGGTGTAAAGAATGAGGTACAAACTCTATGGATGAGGGAAGAAGTAGAAGGGAAAATTCACTGGACACCTTTTAATACATTTTTGAAATGTGTATCATGTGAATGATGATCTGTTTAAACAATGATGACTAAAAACAAGCCAGGTACTGTTTTAAGTATTTTACTCTGTGTAAATTACACAGAGTAACAAATTTAATTCTCACAACCAACAGCTTATGAAGTACTATGTTATTCTCCTCTCACAAAGACAAAAACAAAATTAAAGCACAAAAATAAAATTAAATACATATGTTTAATAATGTCTTTACTGGCTCGGGCGCCTGGGTGGCTCAGTTGGTTAAGCGACTGCCTTCGGCTCAGGTCATGATCCTGGAGTCCCGGGATCGAGTCCCGCATCGGGCTCCCTGCTCGGCAGGGAGTCTGCTTCTCCCTCTGACCCTCCTCCCTCTCATGCTCTCTGTCTCTCATTCTATCTGTCTCAAATAAATAAATAAAATCTTAAAAAATAAATAAATAAATAATGTCTTTACTGGCTCGTTTTACCTAGGAAAAACCTTTAGTGTGTGATATTTTGTCAAAATTAATGGAAAGCGATGAATACCTAGGGAATCTATCAAGGATGAATTATGAAGAGATTGGCTCTAGCGTCCCAAGAAGGAAAAGGGGGGTACAGCAGCTGCTGGACCCACTGCTCCCAAGCGCTACAAGCGAGCGGCCTGCCATTCCACAGAAGCAAACGTCACTAAAGTGAAATAATTATCTATCTTCTTCCCAGCTTGGATAAGGAGATAATTATCAGGTTCAAGGTTCATCAAAATTACTCAAATCTCAAGATCACAATGAAATAACTCATGTAATAATGTTTAAAAGTAGTATCTTACTTCCTGTGATTCATTTGTACAACACAAAAGGTCCAAGAAATGCTGCATCTACGAACAAACTGGAGGGACCATTTCTCAGAGCTCCCACCCAACTGGTTTTGCTATAGTGGTATTTGAAGGCAACTTCTAATATTTTTAATGAAAATTGTACATAGTTTATAAAATGACTGTGTGTAAAGGTGAATTAAATGCAATTCAAGGCAACTATGTCAAGGGCTGTAGGAAGACAACAACTGCCAAGCCCAAGTAAGATATTTGATCTTTGTCCAATGGCTGAAAAAAACCATGGCCGGCATACCAGAGATTACTAAAACTACGAAATCATCGAGATTAGGAAAGTGGTTAACAACAGCAAGGACATGGAAAATATAATAATTCTAAAAATCTACTTCAAATTTTTCTAATTGAAGGTAACTACACCACTAATACCCCCCCCACACACACACACACACTTAAATCATTTCCAGGTCAAGATACGTACCACACAACAAATTATGAGATGCAGCAAAAGTAAGCAGACAGAGCAAAAACTCAAAATGAGACAAGATATAACCGCTTGGACAGGCTAATTAACATTAAGAGGTACCACCAGATAATGAGGGGAAAACTGCTGTAAAAAGACAGCCAGAGGAACTCAAAAGGGCCACTTAGCAAAAGGGAGAACGCCTTCACACAGGTCAGAAGCCCCTAACGGTGTGACCAGGCTACAGACGGTTGCACTAAAATGAATATGGAAGAAGCTAACCTTTATTAAATAAACTCTGCTTAGGAAACCAAGGAGATATCAAATATGTTTTCAAAATATGCGCCTCAAAAGTAGTTGGTGATTTTTAAATTGTGTTTTAAATGCTCCTGTTACCTGGAAAATTTCCTACAAAACCTCATTCCCCAGCAACGTCAGAAAAATAGGGTAGTAGTATACGGGACCTACTTAAATTTCATTAACAACATTTTATTTTTATGCTTTCCCTGTACCCAAATGCAGATTTTTTTTTTTTTTTTTTTTTGAGAGCGAGCGAGCAAGAGTGAGTGTGCACGGAGTTGGGGGGGGGGGGCGGCGAGGAACGGGACACAGACCGAGGGAAAGAGAGAATCTCCAGCAGACTCCCCGCTGAGTGTAGATTCCCAACTCAGGGCTGGATTTCACGACCCTGAGACCATGACCTGAGCCAAAATCGAGAGTCAGATGCATAACCGACTGAGACACCCAGGCTGCCCCCCAAATGCAAGTATTTTTAAAAGTAATTTCCTCAGAGCACCCAAAACAAAACAAAGAAAAACCCACTAAATAGACAAGAACATATATAAGGATCTTTTCAGCCAAGTTCTTATTCAACAAAATCTGTTCATCAATATCGCAGTGTTGCTCTAGGCTATCAGCTAATTCACAGTAATAGCTTTATTACAAAATAACTGCTTGGTTAGCATTTATGGAAAAACCACTGACCTCTATTCCAAAATAGTGGAAGACAGGTGGTTCAAATTAAATATGTGCAAAAGACTTCACAGCAACCCTCAAGCAACAAAGTATAAAAGAACGATACTCTGATCCTAACATATTTTTCAATCATAACTGCCAGATTAAATGATAAATCCTAGTTATAATAAGTGACAACACTTTCCAAGTTGCTTTAAGACATAACTCCACAACAAAGATAGAAAATGAAAACGTACAATAACTGCACTTACGATGTAGGAAGCAGTCATATTTAAAACATCGCCTACAGAAAAGTGTATGAAATGAATGCAGGCTTTGCTCCCTCTGAACAGATTTAGCATTTGGTCCGTCTATGTTCGGGGTACATTCAGGAGGAAGGGCGCCCGGGAGCTGCTGTTCGGTGAGCTCTTTATACCTAACATTAACCAAGAAAAACGCAAGTGAAGCTAGAGCAAAAACTTCCTCTCTGAAAATACAGTTTCTAAACGGTGCCGTGTATTCTTTGTGATGTTCATCTTGCCCAAACACACAAGGAAAGCTCTCACCCATGACAATCTTTATTTAGATGAAGAGCCAATTAAAAATTTTGCATGGTGTATCAAACATCAAGTTCACGGGCAGGATTCGGATCATGAAAAGTGTTACTATATTAATTAAAATAAACTTCAATGACACTAACGTCTCTGCAAGTGTCCAGGGAAATTCTCCTCTCCACGTACGACCGTCAATGACGTCGTGTGTTCACGGCGCCTACGGTAACTGTCCTGAGCAGAGCGCCCCAGACACAGGGTTGAGAACCCTGCCGCAGTCAACAGAGGCGGCCCAGGGGCGCATCAGCTACATCAGTTCCGTTTCCGATAAACCCAAACGCTGAGCTGCACACCCTACATGCAAGGCTGCCTCAAAAGAAAACTCTTACTTTTCCTTTAGTTCTTCTGCTGTGCCCTTGTCTGGAAACATTGAGGAAATGGCTTCAAAAATTTTGTCAGAAGGAAATTTCCGAGGTGGGTGGCTTTCTTTATCTAAACGGGAAAATATGAAAGGGAAAAAAGATGAAAGCAAGCAAGTTTTCAGTCCTTCCTTCTCTCCACGCAACTACATCTAACAAAGCCGATTTCCTAAGAAATTACCAACTCTGTGTCTCACTTATTTCTGACGTACGTCACATGTATCCAGGGAGTGCTGGTGAGCCAAACAAAAAAGTCAAGATCAAATATGGAAAGTCTTAGGCCCACCGGGAGGCAGAAGACCCAGGTTCTAATCCCGGATCTGCTACTGACTGGGTCTGTGACCTTGACTGGCCACTATCCACTGGGGTCTGTTTCTTCACTGTAAAACCAAGGAGAGGAAGCACGTGATCACGGCCTGTTACATAACCATTACACTTCTGTCAGATTGAGGTTTTTCCCCACATTCTTCTATGCTGTTTAATAATGTGCTCTGCCAAGTCTCCACCAGCTACGGGCTCTGGCCGATAAGCCACCACTAGCAAAGGGGTTAAAAGCATGGGCTCTCGAGTCAGTCAGAAGGGTTACCATCCTAGTGTTCTGGGTTCTGTTTCTTCCCAAGAGTGTAACCCTAAGTTCCTTAACTGCACTAAGCCAGGCTCTTCAACTATAAAATAGATCTGACTGATGCTAACAGAAACCTTGTGGAGCACAGACGGCGACGGGCCCATTCACTTATACGTAGTCAATGATCAACAGGTTATATTATGATGATTATGATGATTACCCAGCAAAATCCCAAAAACAGAACCAGTTCTTTTGTTAGCCAAAGGAAATAAAGACGCCCAAGTGAGGATGAAATGTTACAAAAGATATTCTCATTTTTTATTCTATTACTATCGATACGATATTTCAGAAAAGAGAAAGAAGGAATTAATACGTTTGTACTTTATTAGTTTTTGAAAAATGCTGTCGTGGCTACACACAAACCTAATAAACAGACATACCATCTCTGTTCTCCTCTAGATCTTTCTGTTTTTCTTCTCTTTCATCAGGATCATCTCCATCATCATCATCATCATCATCATTGTACTGACCAAGAGCATTCACCAACTCCACAAAAATTTCATCATTTATAAACCCACATTCTGAAATTCATCAAGTCAAATATCAGATATACACAGAGGAAAGTGGTGATGACAAAAGTTTACATATGCCTTTTCTAACCTGGAAGAAACAGCCAGGGCCTATTAATGAGCACTAGAACATCAAGGTTAAAATGAGGCGGGAGATCATTTTCAAGACTGGCCTGAGGCAAAGTTAGAAAGACTTTATCTTCAACACCTGTCACTTTCTCTTTAATTACAGCGTCGCCCGTAAGTTTCCAGTGCCCGCTGCTCGAACCTAATTCACTAGAAACTAACTGTGGCCTCAGCCTCCTCCCAACAGCGCTTCCCAAGAGAAGGGACAGTGATGATGTTACACAAGCCACCATGCTGCCGCACACCTTGTCGGGGTCTCTGGGACAGGAAACACAGAAGCCACGGACGCAGTGGCTGAAGTGCAGGTCCTGTGGCAGCTAAGTAGGGCGTCCTTCTGAGCACAGGGCCTTCTGGGGCCCATGCGTCACAGGGCAGGGCCCTGACCCTAATCTTACTGTGAAGGAATCTTAAAATCTACAAACATCCAAACAACTCTATTTAATTTACATGTTACTGGCATTATAATGTGTTATAACCAACTATGCATCATTTTCAAATAGCAAAAATGAATTCTTCAATTTAAAAGTAGTTACGGAAAACATTAAAATGTTTAGGCTTGAAAACAGGCCCAGGCCAGTTCCAGCAAAAAACTTACTTTTGATGTTAAAAAAAAAAAAATCTTTTTCATACCTATGCTTAAAAAATTCAAAGTATCTCTCAATTCTTTGGCACTTTTTTCCAAGAGAATAAATACAGGGCTCACCTCTATCCCCATGTACTTTTCCATCATAATTTTTTATTAGTTCTTCAATGAAAGTCCCATCCTGGTCTAAAACTTCATCCCCCATGTAAGGAATATTATGTAAAACAGTTTCATCTTCCACCTAAAAATAAAAAATACATTTTAAAAGCAGGCTTATCCTAAATATCAAAATATTTTTTAAATCAATGTAATATAAAATACTATTTTTTTCCTAGGTAGATGTCTCTACCCAGTTCTCCAGACCTAAACTAAATAGACAGCAAACTCTAAAATATAAAGACCCCTCCCACCAATAAGAATTATCTCAGAAATCAAACTGTTTCTAGGGGAAAAAATTAAGAAAAAATACCCTATTCACCTAATCTAACATGTCATTAATCATTTAAACTTACCATTATTTTATCCACCTCAAGAAAGGAAAAAGTATTGCGTATTACCACATGAACCAATCAATTTCAAGACACACCCAGTGTCTTAGAATTGATGAAATATAGTTTATCGAAACCACTTAAAACAGCCGTACAATAGAATGTAATAAGGATTTCTAAACTTCACCTGATGGTCTAGCTCTTCAGAGACCTTCAATCTAATAAAAATCTAGGGGTTGTAAAATAGAGTATTGTAAAGCTTATGCCAAACAGATCTGCTCTTATACATAAAATAAGAACATTCTACAATTACATACAGTATTTCAATGCTGAGAGGAACAAGATGCCTATCCAAATTGATCACGCTAAGCAAGATGAGATACGAGTTTATGAAGGTTTGGAAGACAATAGGGGAAAAAGAAGGCGCTACCTTAGCAGGGAGAGCCAATCCAAGAAAAGTTCAGGAGAAGGGAGAACTTAAGAACACAAGGGACTGGAAGCAGACATGCATGGGAGGGAGAGACTCTTCAATGAAGGATAAAAAAGACAGGAATGCTAGATCAAGACTAGAGAGTTCTGAAGCCCATATTTAAAGAGAATAAAGTGAGGACAGGTCTGTCTTTTGGTTAAAGAGAGAATTTTAGAAGGATAATTCTGATAAACAGAGTGGCCTGGCTAAGAGGAGAGGACATGGCAGCTGCAGCCAGTGTAGGAGCCTCAGGTGGGGAGCACGCGCGACAGCGAAGAATACACCAGGAAAAGGCCACGAGACACACAGGGGACCATCACATAAGAGCAGGCGGGAAAAACGAAGACAAGGAGAAAATCTCAACTAATCCCCAGATAACAAATTTAGGACAACTGCAAAGTTCAGAAAGACAACAAAATCTTAGACAAACAGGGAAAAGGGAAACTGGGAGAGAAAGTACACAAGGGATATAAAATTAAAATTTTAATGCACTGATCTATCCAGAACCAAACTTACATACAACTAAAGAGTCCAGTTTGCACCACATCTCACTTTCACTAATACCATTTAAACTAGGAGTGTTAATTTTTTTGGATAAAAGCCAAAATTAAGTCACAATTGGCTATTCTGTCTTCCTAACTATATCATGTAAGCTTTGCTCCCCAAAACATATCCTAACCATAATAAAGATAGTGACCAGCAGGGGCGCCTGGGTGGCTCAGTTGGTTAAGCGACTGCCTTCGGCCCAGGTCATGATCCTGGAGTCCCTGGATCGAGTCCCGCATCGGGCTCCCTGCTCGGCAGGGAGCCTGCTTCTCCCTCTGACCCTCCCCCCTCTCATGTGCTCTCTCTCTCTCATTCTGTCTCAAATAAATAAATAAAATCTTTAAAAAAAAAAAAAAAAAAAGATAGTGACCAGCAAAACCCATGGGTAATTCTAAATAATACTGACAACTTTAAATACTATATCCTTTCAGAATTTTAGTCTACAAAAATAATGAAATCTCCCATAAGCTCTTGCAATATAATTCTTAAACTAAATGTTTTTGCACGAAGTCTTGAATACACGAGGCAATTACAGAAGAGCATCTGAAGTTTATCTTTAATCTCCCACTGTAAAATCTTTAAGTTACTAAAGACATTAGAAACATCTTTTAAGGGGCGCCTGGGTGGCTCAGTAGGTAAAACGTCTGTCTTCGGCTCAGGTCATGATCTCAGGGTCTTGGGATCGAATCCTGTGTTGGGCTCCCTGCTCAGCGGGGAGTCAGCTTCTCCCTCTCCGCCTGAACCTCCCCACTCGTGGTCTCTCTCTCTCTCTCTCAAATAAATAAAATCTTTTAAGAAAGAAACATCTTTAAAAAAAAAAATCTAGGGGGCACCTGGGTGGCTCAGTCGTTAAGCGTCTGCCTTCGGCTCAGGTCATGATTCCAGGGTCCTGGGATCGAGTCCCTCATCGGGCTCCCTCCCACTCCCCCTGCTTGTGTTCCTGCTCTCGCTATCTCTCTCTCTGTCAAATAAGTAAATAAAATCTTAAAAAAAAAAAAAAAAACCTAGGCTGGCTCAATTGGTCGAGCACATGACTACTGATCTCAGGGTTGTGAGTTCAAGCCCCATGCTGGGCGTGGAGCCTACTTAAAAAAAAAAAAAAAAAATCTAGTAAGCAATTCTCTAAAGTACGCTCACCAAGGACTTCTATCAACATTTTTACTTATTTTACATATCAATAATAAAACTGTGTATTTTTTACTTAACACAGGCCAAGAATGCACACTCAAATTTCTCTCGTTTTATCTTCCTTCATCCTACCTCTATAAAGAATTAAATACCAGCATTTCATTACAAAAGCTATTGGGCCAGTGTTATCTGTGGAAATATGATGAAGTTTGTGTTTTATAAGCCCTTAGAATATTTCATAATGTACATTATCATTTAATAACATGCTGCCTAAAACCTTTTCAGTAAAAAGTTCTCAATTAACAAAACCTCTAAATCAACTGAAATTACAGAATACTGACCGACCTTTTCAAGCATAAGAACTATAAGCTTCATCTTTTAAACATATTTTTAATCCCAGGTAGGATTTCTGCTTAACACTTTTCCTTTAGAGAATACTTTAACTAGGAAAGAATAGAAAAAGAGCAACACCACAAAGGCTTATGAAAATATATATATCGGTTAAAAAAAAAAAAATCACTGAGTGTTATCATTTCGGTAACGTTTTTTACTTATATTATTCTTGATTCACCTTGACAAGAAAATTGTGTTTTATTTAAAATAAGTGATTATCAAGTAAGCAGATGACACATGAGTTACATACCATAAAATTCTGCTGTAGGGGAGACCAAGAATACATTATGGGTACTGAAGCAACAGCATTCAGAGTCTTTAATGGGATGACTTGTGTTGGAAAATCCAAGTCACTGGTCACTGAACACTAGAACAGAAAAAATAAAATTGACTCATAAGAATTAAAGGACAACCTTAAGCTGTCAACATATTATAAAGGGACACTGCCCACTTAGATAATTTTGAAAAGGAAATTCCTTAACCTAATGACACAACAAGGTACCTAAAAACCATGAGGGATTCTCTCCTTCTTACTTTCTTTTACTTAGGGTGAAAAAAATGCTTCAGATTTTGCGAATTTTCAAAAGCTTCCAAGAACCCTTCCCATACTTACCAGTATCAATCAGAATCAAAAACAGCATTTGCTAGTCTCGGGTTAACTCACTATAAATTTCCTAGCTCGATGCTTAATTTTTTTACATCTCAACCACATGGAATAATATTATATATACCAAATATGCCTCTTAAATCTCGCTTAGTAAGAATATGGAAACTGTTAGGTTCACCTTTCTTATCTTTATCTCTCCTTTTAAAAAACCCAAGCATCATTTGCTGATATTACCAGATGATAAACAAAGATGAAGGGTAGTAACAGATCTGAGTTTCAATCACAACAAAAGAAGTTCATATCCACTCTGCAAAAGTATAATCTCTAAATTAATAATAATAGCTAATATTATTAAGCACTTTCTATGTGTGAGGCACTATTTTAAACACATTACATGTCTTACCATATTTTGTCCCCATGACAACACCTGTAAGATGAGGACTAATTCTTAGCCCCCATTTTACAGGTGAGAAAAACTCAGGTGAAAAAAAGGTAAGTAACTGGCCCAAAGTCATACATGAGACAGGGCTAGAATTTAAACCCAGAAAGAAAGTCTGACTCTGGAGCCTCTGCTCTTGCCCACTACACAAACGGCCACAATACCGTATCTCTAGAATGTTTAAGTGCATCTACTCTCTTGAAATACCGTATTTCATCCAACCCGTGATGACCTCAATTTCAAGGCATTCCATTACTTTCTGTATCAGTGAGAAAATAATGTTGCCAGTTAAACTGTAACATAATGTGCTCTTATCACAGCAATTCTAAAGATGCATTCCAGCTTCAGATGTTAAAATGTTCAAAATTTTGCATCTTTGATTCTATGAAATACGGTAAAAATCTGTGCCCAAATGACCACAGCACTTTCTATCCTATCTAGGAATCCAGCTTTTCTTAAAGAGGACCATTACCTAATTATCAGGCTTCCAAGAACCTTCTCAAAAATACCCTTGGACATATATTCCTAATCTACAATCAGTGAAAATAGAGCAAAAAGAAGAATTGAAGGAGTAAAATGAAACAAAAAATCATATATATAAACACGCATATTTATTAAATGTTTAATTTTTATTTGAGAGGTCTCAAAAATAGCAGGACTAGATTTGGTGAAATTACAGTGAGAATCTCTGGCTTACAGGCCACACCTGGCCCTCAGTGTCTCATCAGGCCAGGGGGATAATCTTGCAATGGTCACAGTCACTGCAGCACAAAATAGTTCCTTCCTGGTGGAAGTGAAGGTTTAAAGGTAAGAGTTGTTAGAAAGAACTGTGACAGTGATTAATCCATTAATTTGCTTTCCAAAAGGGTCAAGATAAAGATACTACTACTAGAAAGCTCATAGCTCAAGTAAACGAGAAGGTATGAACAGTTCACTAATACTCCAGAGCCACCATCCCTCCCTATTCGGCGCTCTGGTCTCTGATACAGTTCTTCATCCATCCGTCCAATAACCCAATCATAATAGCAGTTAACATTTATTGAGCACGTACTATGTTGCAGGCACTGTGCTAAGTGCTTTGGATAGTCATCTTAGCCACTGCTCCTCTCGGCCTCCAGCGTCACAACCTCACAAATGAGGAGACTGAGGCTCACGGAAGTTAAATAACTTGCCTAGTCAGAAAGGTAGAAAGTTACCAAGCCAGGATGGAAGCCTAAGTCTGACTCCAACACCCACGCGCCTCCTCTCTGTGCTGCCCTCCTGCCCTCGAGATGCTCGCAGGGTCAGAGACCAAGCACAACTGTGCCCGGGCTGCCACCTGCCGGAGACGCCCTCTCCCCCAGGCCCTCCTCTTAGTCCTCTTACTACCAAGTCACCTCAGCTCCTCCCTACCTAACTGCCTAACTGTGGGGCCAGGGCCAGGAGTGCTCCTAATTACTGAATCAAGTATTACACACTGTCCGGGAATTTTAAGTTCAAAGTAATTATAATTTCTTACCAAAAAAATTAGAGTTTTGGGGTTTTGTTTTACAGTTGGAGGGAAGTAAATTAATACTGTGGCTTTAATTCTGAAGATTAGCCTCCTTTAGAGCTTGTGGGGGTGAGGGCAGCATGTTGCCTCTCCAACTCTAACTTACCCACCTGCTTAACATCTGAACCCAAGGTCATACTTAAGGCAAGACAGCTTAATATTCCATTCAACTACCAAACAGGAGGGACTTTGCTTCATCTGTTTGCTCTAAGGATGTAGAAAATGCTCTGAATCTACTGAATGAGGTCCGCTGATTTTTCCCCTCAACAGAAAGAACTTAGAGAAGCACAAAAATAAGATAGCAAAGGCTGCAGCACTAGGTACCACCTCCAACCCTGCACCTCCGTCAGATCCCATCATCTCAACCCTGAGCCTATGAGAGTCACCAAGGGACCAGAAATCAGCTCTCTGAGGGCAAAAGCAGCTGAGACAGTGTGGTTTTACTTCTCTGTCTCACAATTATACTCAGCACAGTGTCTCAAAAAAGAGTAGGCACTCAAAAAATGTTTCTGGAATGAACAGACTGCATTTGCTGATTTTGCCTAATGGAGATTTCACTCCAATTTCTCTTTAAGCTAAGAGAGCACCTACTTAGAAAATCGCAGGCCTATACCCACCTCATTATCTATATAGTATCTCTAGAAACCTAACCCATTCCTTAACTATTAACCTTAACTAATAACCATATTCCTTTCATTTATGAAATAATATTCAAATGCAAAAGCATTTGTTGGTAAAACAAGTTTGGGAATTCTTATTTATTGACTTAACAGGAAAATTACTCAAAAAATTCCAGTTACTTACCAGTAACTTTTTTTTCTTTGAAAATGTATCATCCTTGACAGTTTATGTAATTAAGTCTCATATCATTCAGAATACTGAAAAAGGTTTTGATCTCATGGGTCTCCAAAGCATTTTACCTGATCGGTCAAGTGTCCTGGACTCAGGAACTCACTAGGAGACCTACATCAACAAACAGAATTCTCCAATTCTCGTTCTTACTTGAGGATCACACAAGGAAGTTATTATAGGTGATTCATCATCAATGGTAAAGAAGGAAAAAAAAAAAAAAAAAACTCTATTAGTTATCAAGGATGCTACATTTTCAGAGAAACACAGCTTACTGGTAAGTGACCGGGTTCCTCTGAGGATGGATAGACTTACATCAACCAGCTGGTACAATAGGCGACTGTGTGGCTGGACCACTGGGAGCTGGAGAGGGAAGTCAAGCCAAAAATAGTAGTTGTAGGAGTACACAACCAAACTGAGACTCTTGGCAGAAGGCTGGTTCCAAGTAAAAACTGTGTTATGGAAAATCGTAGAGGGAAGAGCAGGTGAATGGCCTGCAGGGAAGGGAAAGAAATTAAGACACCCTACTATGTGCCAAGCACTGTGCTAGAGATTTTACCAAAGTTAACTTCTTTAAAATCCACCACTACCCTATGAGGTCGATATGACTCCCCATTTTACAGTGGGACATCCCAAAGGAAAATAGCCATGGCTATCTGGTCTCTGAACAATCTTTAACATCAGAAGTGTGAAGTCCAACTTCCGTATAGTGGGGGGAAAAAAATACAGTCAGTTAGCCAAGTTAAAAATATTCTTGGATACTAGTTGATCCATTTAATTCATGCCAGAGACACAACGAACTGTTGATATTGTCTAATATCCTTCAGCCTTTCCAAGTAAAAACAATACGGAACCATCTGACATCTAAGGGGGTAAGGCATCAACTGCCACCCGAACTCTAGAGAAAAGCAGAGGATCATTTCTGAAACTGCCTCTATTCTTCAAAATCACAGCACAGAAAAGATAACACACCCAAATCTTAAGCTAGCCCTTCTGGTGAAAATGATAGTGTGTATAATTTAATTTCAGACTGCTTTTATGCAAAGAAGTCCTAAAGAAAAAAACTGGAATGAGTAAATACCAACTTTGGATCAAAAGAAGCTAGACAGAATGAGTCCCTAACCAGGTCTCGGAGGCTGATCAGGAGAAGGGGGGAGTACAAGACACGAGAGGTTCCAGTGGCAGAGGGTCAGAAATAAGCACCGGGAAGAAAAATTCCTCATCAAATCTTGACACAGACATATTCATACAAGCAGCTAATCAAGGGTGCTAGGGCTAAGGAATCAAAGAGTGGCTCATAACCAGATTGTAAATTATGTCCACTTTTGTTGTCAAATATGTTATAGAGCCATCCCGGATTGGCGGAAGAACCTCTCTACCTGCAACATAGGGCTCTTGCTTCTGAGTTCACTTAAGCATTACAGAAAGATAGCATCCTCTAGGTGTCAGTTCTTATACTTCTTTTCAGAAGAAAAGCGCAAGCGCGCGCGCGCACACACGCATTTAACATAGAACACAGAACATTTGCAATGCAATTTCAGGAAGTTTAGACCCTTAAAACTCTTCCCTGAATCCTAATTTGAAAAGCCTAATCCCGAATGAAAGCAACCATAAATATATCAACCTAGTTAATCCTATTAAAACCCAATGCACAGGGAAAACCCAACGCAGTCTGGGGGCAGAAGGGGCTGTATTAAATCAGTCCCCATAATCTGCAGTTTTGCTACAAACTCCAGTTTTGCTGAAGTAACTGGAAACCAGAAACTGAACAATAGCCAATACGTACGTTTTGGTAAAACTACAGAACATCCAAAAGGCACATGAAGCAGCTAACCGGAGCTGTGCAAACTCAAATACCGAATTCAAGAACAGTCCTATGAGTGGGAAATAAGATAATATCTGTCCCTTAAAAAAAAAAAAAAAAAAAAAACAAACCACACA